ACAACAATATATCTATCAACGAGGGGTTCGCGATTTTTTACTTTTTTGGTCACAAACCGGATTACCGTAAAGATATCACGGTAATCCGGAATTTTAGGTTATTTTTTATGTTTTTTGTTTTTCTTGGGTAATATACTACTTTTTGTTTGGTTTTACTTATATCTTTTGGTCATCTTTTGGTCATACTTATATCTTACTTATATATCGCGGTTATTTTTTATGTTTTTTGTTTTTCTTGGGTAATATACTACTTTTTGTTTGGTTTTACTTATATCTTTTGGTCACAAACCACTCAGGGGACGAGGGGTTCGCGATTCCCCCCACCCTTCCTGGTTCGTGAATTTTCGGTCTTAACTAGGTTAAAAAACTATTCACGGTAATCCGGAAGGCTTCCGCGTTCCGAACTACCCTTCCGCCCCGGCAGTTTAGGCCTATTAAGGGCGTTAATGTGAGCATCCGCTCGGCGCGGAGTGCTCGTTAACCACTCAGGGGACGAGGGGTTCGCGATTCCCCCCACCCTTCCTGGTTCGTGAATTTTCGGTCTTAACTAGGTTAAAAAACTATTCACGGTAATCTATCACAACAATATATCTATCAACAACAAACGGGGGGGTTGGATCACATCTTGTCTGGGGGGATGATTTCTACTGATTTTTTACTTAACTATTTTTTATGTTTTTTCTTAACTAGGTTAAAAAACTATTCACGGTAATTTATAGGTTATTTTTTATGTTTTTTGTTTTTCTTGGGTAATATACTACTTTTTGTTTGGTTTTACTTATATCTTTTGGTCACAAACCACTCAGGGGACTATTCACGGTAATCTATCACAACAATATATCTATCAACAACAAACGGGGGGGTTGGATCACATCTTGTCTGGGGGGATGATTTCTACTGATTTTTTACTTAACTATTTTTTATGTTTTTTCTTAACTAGGTTAAAAAACTATTCACGGTAATTTTTAGGTTATTTTTTATGTTTTTTGTTTTTCTTGGGTAATATACTACTTTTTGTTTGGTTTTACTTATATCTTTTGGTCACAAACCACTCAGGGGACGAGGGGTTCGCGATTCCCCCCACCCTTCCTGGTTCGTGAATTTTCGGTCTTAACTAGGTTAAAAAACTATTCACGGTAATCCGGAAGGCTTCCGCGTTCCGAACTACCCTTCCGCCCCGGCAGTTTAGGCCTATTAAGGGCGTTAATGTGAGCATCCGCTCGGCGCGGAGTGCTCGTTAACGGTTCTGCCGGTCATGATGTTAAAAAAGAATAACACCCAGGAGCGCCATAAAAACATACATGTAACATTCGCCCGGAAGATACATATCGACGGAAAACAAAACTAAGTCTTAAGACGACTGGCTAACGTCTAAACAGAGCTTTGCATGCTGGCCACCGTCTCTACCAAGCCAGTACTTTTCGGTGGTCTTTTCTAACATCGGGTCGACAAAAACGTTACTGCTTTCGGCTTCGGTCAAAACACTCAAATTAACTAGATTACAAACCACTCAGGGGACGAGGGGTTCGCGATTCCCCCCACCCTTCCTGGTTCGTGAATTTTCGGTCTTAACTAGGTTAAAAAACTATTCACGGTAATCTATCACAACAATATATCTATCAACAACAAACGGGGGGGTTGGATCACATCTTGTCTGGGGGGATGATTTCTACTGATTTTTTACTTTTTTGGTCACAAACCGGATTACCGTAAAGATATCACGGTAATCCGGAATTTTAGGTTATTTTTTATGTTTTTTGTTTTTCTTGGGTAATATACTACTTTTTGTTTGGTTTTACTTATATCTTTTGGTCACAAACCACTCAGGGGACGAGGGGTTCGCGATTCCCCCCACCCTTCCTGGTTCGTGAATTTTCGGTCTTAACTAGGTTAAAAAACTATTCACGGTAATCCGGAACTATTCACGGTAATCCGGTTCGCGATTCCCCCCACCCTTCCTGGTTCGTGAATTTTCGGTCTTAACTAGGTTAAAAAACTATTCACGGTAATCTATCACAACAATATATCTATCAACAACAAACGGGGGGGTTGGATCACATCTTGTCTGGGGGGATGATTTCTACTGATTTTTTACTTTTTTGGTCACAAACCGGATTACCGTAAAGATATCACGGTAATCCGGAATTTTAGGTTATTTTTTATGTTTTTTGTTTTTCTTGGGTAATATACTACTTTTTGTTTGGTTTTACTTATATCTTTTGGTCACAAACCACTCAGGGGACGAGGGGTTCGCGATTCCCCCCACCCTTCCTGGTTCGTGAATTTTCGGTCTTAACTAGGTTAAAAAACTATTCACGGTAATCCGGAAGGCTTCCGCGTTCCGAACTACCCTTCCGCCCCGGCAGTTTAGGCCTATTAAGGGCGTTAATGTGAGCATCCGCTCGGCGCGGAGTGCTCGTTAACGGTTCTGCCGGTCATGATGTTAAAAAAGAATAACACCCAGGAGCGCCATAAAAACATACATGTAACATTCGCCCGGAAGATACATATCGACGGAAAACAAAACTAAGTCTTAAGACGACTGGCTAACGTCTAAACAGAGCTTTGCATGCTGGCCACCGTCTCTACCAAGCCAGTACTTTTCGGTGGTCTTTTCTAACATCGGGTCGACAAAAACGTTACTGCTTTCGGCTTCGGTCAAAACACTCAAATTAACTAGATTACATGCAGAAATAGTGAGCTCATGGCTGGGTCTCAGTATCCCCAGACTACGAGGTCACTCCTAAAAACAGGGCTACTACTATTTATATTATTATTGTTTTTGTTCAGTAGATAAAAATCATCATCTCCATCGAAGATGGATCAACCCTTTCCCCCAACTCCTAGCTTCTCATCCTTATCAAAATGAATCTAGATATTAATTAAATTCAAGTCAGGACATGACAGGAAGCTAAAAGTTTATGCAACAGGATAAAAGTTTCAGTTCCTTTACCCTTCCGGATTGATGAATCCGCTGGATCAAGCTCGCTAATCCTGATTTTCTCTTAATCCGGAAGGCCGTCTCTCACCCTTCACCGTTGTTCGCAACGGCCTTGCAACTATTGTAGCAGCACAATAGTTGCAACTCGGAGTGTTCTTCTGTTATTCTGTAACTCGTTGTCGTTTTCCGATCTCAATTTCGTTGTTGTTGCTAGCGCAGCTAATGTTGTTCTCTTTTTCTTTCTCGTTTTTGTCAAAATGGCCGTTTCTGACGTTTCTCAGAAATATGACGTCATAATTCGATTTTTTGAAATTTTAAAATACCAGAATATTCTAGCCCTCACCGTTTGGCCAATCGTTCCAATAACGTTCTTAATTCTTACTAATCATCAATCCGGAAGGCTTACTGCTAAAAATTCGAAGTCTGCATAAATTGCATTTTGGCCATTCTGGTCGAATGTCACATTGATGCTAAAGTTTTGTTAAAAGTCGAAGAAAATGTTGTGAGAAATGGTCCTTTAAGTTAAGTTAAGTTAAGTTAGTTTTGAGTGTAAAAACTTGAGTTTGCGTTTAGTTTTGTCCACTAGTGTATAAGAAACAGCATTCATTTTTTTTGTAGTTATCCGTCTTTGACCTACACTTTTGAATGTGCATTTTCAGACTCGAGCAAGATGCAACAGCAAATTTCAACAGATATTGACGGTAATTAGAAATCATGTCCGATTGTTTCTGTCCGGGGAAGTATTGCGGTTGTGTAACGTCCTTAAACCAAAACTTAAGTTTTGAAGAGAATTATTTTACCGGCTGTGGAAGATGTCCAAGAGGAAGCAGAGTAAATCCTGACTCTGGTGTCTGCCAGCCGTGTGATGAACAACCTTCATTTTATGACTGGCTTTACTTGACGAGTGTGATAATCGTTCTGTTCATCTCTCACATGTATATAGTGGATTATACTATCAGAAATCATTTTAAACCAGGAAAACGACATAAAAATGGCTCCTCAAGAATGAAAAATGTTACACGCGCAGTTTTTTCACCGCGCTCAAAAATTCATTGTGCTGCTATAATTGTTTTCAGCGTAATTATCGAACTTTCATGCAGTGTCATCTTCACCTTGCTAATCTATGAACCAATGGGAACATTCAGTTTGAAGACATGTGGGAGCGAAGAACTCGCAGATTGGTACCCTATTTTTTTCAACCCAGATGTGCATTTTACATCGACGTTATATTGTACACAAGAAATGGTTTATCCATTGTACAGCGTGGTTCTCACCCTCTTACTTGCTGATCTAGTCTGTATGATCATAATTCGACCTTTACTGACGTGGAAATTAAGCTGCAGTGTCGACATGGTTACCTATCTTGCCCTTTATTTCATTCCAGTGTTGATGCTGATTTACGCTATCGGAGCAGGTCTTCTCTACTATTCGTTTCCTTACCTATTTCTTGTCTTCTCCGTTTCTTCAATAGCCTTCAATCTGTGCTTGGAATATTCTAGATGTTCTCGGAGCATCCTCAAAATGTGTGCCCCTCCTCCGCCACGCATCATCGCGCTGGTTTTGTTGCATTGGTGTTTACACTCATTTGCTATTGTATCCGTAACTCGGAACGAATCCCTGCTACAGACTATCAAGTTCCTGGCGCTATCTCCAGTTCCTACTTTATTTTTCTTCGTTACTGTTAGATTCACAGACCCGTGCCAAATTCTACACAGAACAACATCCCCAACTCCCAGATCAGTTGTCGGGAGACGTCTCGGAGCTATGCCACCATCATCAACGTCGCAACCCTCGGGTCCTATTTCAAGTGCCAGCAGGAACCGCGTACCTGCGGTGTTGCGATCATCAAGGACATTAGGAGGCCGTCCAACGACTGCTGGAGACTACTACTGGTTAAATGCTTCGAACACAATCAGATCGTCCAGTTTTCTCTCGGTTGTGTTTGAACAGAACCAATCGGCTCAAAGCAACGCGTCGACTACAGAAAATGAAGCTTCTACGAGCACCAATACCAGGAACAACAGTGTTCCCTTGCCTAACGTGACCCTCTCGAATATTTTATAGACTTTAGAACGTACATTATGTTATTCTAGAAAAGATAAAAGGCAATAGATATTTAGTAACATATAAAGATGCAATTCATTCTCCCGTTTGTTTAACATGCTGAAATTGTTTGAATTAAACAGACTTTCACTGTTGTTGTTGATTAAGATTTCACGATTTGTCTAATGGTCATATTTGGTTGTACAATAGAAAACTTGGACCAAACTTTCAGCAACCTTGGTATCATCACACCTCTCATTAGAAGAAGCTCATTGGAATAATAGCAGTTACAAAAGACTTGAAAATTATGTTTTCCTTTAAATTTTCATGAGTTTCAGTTACTTATGTACATATAATCTACTAATGGATTCCTCGAGAAACTTGACTCCGACACAAGTGACGGAAGTAGAAATATGCCGAAGCAATTTGTTTTCGGTTTTTAGAATGGCAATCAAATCGGTCATTGACCTCTACTTTGTGAACAAACTAACTGAACAGTCAGCTGAGCTCCACAATTTACTTGTGATCTTCGAAAAGTTAGTGACGTTTGATTTTAAACCATCTCCGAGATATCCTACCGTTTGGTCCTTCATCAAAAATTGTGACTCGGTGCTTTGTAAATTCGCCAGACATAAGAATGCCTCTAATGGATCTACAACAAAAACAAGAAGTGACGAAAATTGCTGCGAGATTTTCGAACAGGTTCTCTCTTTGGATGCAAAGCAAACAACAGATCAATGTCGAGTCAGAACATGGGCTAGGATTTGCCTCATGCATAAGCGCTTTTCACACCACTTCAGGATGTTCTGTGCAAGGTCAGACGAAGTTCTGAGGTGTTTCTATGGCTCGTTGTCTATGTTCTACCTGAGAGATCAAATGGCTATCTGTAAGTTTGACTTCGTGATTGATCACGCTCGAAGATGCGCATTTGTAGGCTCATACACACTAGTATTTGCTATCGATATTACTCAGAGTCGGTGAACGTAATTCAGGCCCTTATATGGGTCGCAATGTTTTTTTATTCAGGAAGTCTTAAGAATTTGCTCAGGCTCAAATTTACCATTTCGCGGTTTGACTATTGATTTCTTTGCTTGCGATTAGCAAGCCTTGTCAAATCGGAATGTAGACTTTTTCGGGTTAACAACTAGTTAAACAAAGTCAGTTAAATCGCTGATGATGCTGCACGTCATGCACATTGTTTGAAATTGAGCATGTCAGACGCTATGCAGCTGACATGCTAAATTTCATGGAAGTTCAAATTTAACTATTGTGTGGGAACTAGTTAGTACAGGGTAGTTTCAAGGGGACTTGAAACTTTTTAAAGTTTTGCTTTCAAAATCTTTTTTTTTCCGGCTCAACTGGTGTCTGCTTAAAGATTGTCGGCCTTTTGTGCGCTTCGTAAGTTTTGTTCAGTTGATTATTTGCTTTTCACAAGTCTTGCTTGGCCTGATTTCCTAGAATTCTTGTTTGATCAACAGAGGTATTATGAAAGTATGGGATAGGGTCTTTTTTTGAGACGCTTTGCAAATTTTTTTAAGCAAAAAAAATAGCTTTTTTCTCAAAAACCCTAGCCAAAAACTTATTTTCTTTAAAAAAGTGGTAACCATAGAAATACGGCCTATTTTCTCCCGAATACTCACGAGGTCTCTTTTTGATTTACTTCTTTGTCTACAGCTTTCGAAAAAGTCTGTGGGGGTTTATTTGACCAACATTTTTTGATTTTTTTTTCGTTTTCTCAAACTAATTTACCAAATCTGAGATTTTGGGTTCAATAAATGAAAGATTTTGAGAAGCTCAGCTCCATAAGCGGCTACGCCCAAATTTTTACACCCAAAGTTTTGGCCCTCGGAACAGTCAAATTTATAATTTTTTTGACCGTTTTTGAATCTACTTTCGAAAACTAACGTCCCAAATCTGAAGTTGTGGGCTCAACGGAGATAACGGGTAGGGGGAAGCTTCCATGCATTACCAGTCACTAACATTTTTAACTCAAAAAGTTACCGTCTTCGGAAAAACAATTTTTTGAGCGCTTTTTTCTAAAGTTTATGAGTTTTACTATAAATATCCTCTCATATCTGAGGTTTTGGGTTCAATCCAAAGGACGGGTTGTGGGAAGATCTTTTGTATACACGACTGCGCCCAATTTTTTTGACAATAATTTATGGCCCTCGGAAAAATCAAAAGTTTGATTTTTTAACCGTGTTTTATTTTTTGACTTTTCTCGAGAACTGCCCCCCCCCCAAAACCTGAATTTTTCGGTTCAATTGAAATTACAGATTGGGTGAATCTCTTCTGCATCACCAGCTACGTCTATTTTTTAAACAAAAAGCTATGAATCTGGGGAAATGTCAACTTTATGATTTGTTGACCGTTTTTTGGACTTATCTCTATATTTATCCAGCAAAATCTGATATCATAGGGTTAATCGACTCAACAGGATGTTGAAAGCTTACCTCAATAATTTGCTACGCTGAGTGTTTTTCTAGAGAAAAGGTATGGCCTTAAAACAAGTGAATGTTTTGAAAATTTGCTTGTTTTTTTGGAAATTTTTTTTACTACTCGAAAATTCCCGTGCCAATTCTCTGCTTAGATCTTCAATCAATAAACCCGATTTTAGGAATCCTCTTTACTTTGTCGACCACTACCTGCTGTCAGCAGAAAAAAAGTTATGGATTTCAGAAAGTCAAGGTTTTGAACATTGACTGTTGAGAATTTTCTAAAAAGCTCTCCTATCCAATCGGGTACTCCTTAAATCTCAACTCCATTTCAGGGGATTAAAATCCTGCCTCCAAATGTGACTGATCAAATCTTTCGGAGATTTTAAATGATATTTCAGATAAATTTGAAACACTTCTCAAAAATTTGAAATTACTACGCTTGCGATAAGCAAGGGTTACAAACTGGAATTTAGACATTTATCTAGTTAACAACTAGTTTAAACAAAATCAGTTGAGTCACTTGCTGACTATGCTGCTGACAGGCATGCTCAATTTTTGGAAATTTAAACTTAACACAACGGATTTCGATTGTGCTGTAGACAGTTTTCATTGTATTTGCAAGTGTTCATTCTAATTTCGGGGGTTGAGGGACTTGAAAAATTAAAAAAAAAACTTCATTATTTTTTTTCGGTTCAATTGGTGTCTGCTCAATGCTCAAAGATTGTCGGCTTAGTTGTCACATTACCGATGTGGCTTAGTTGCCACATTACTGATGTCGGCTTAGTTGCCACATTACTGATGTCGGCTTAGTTGCCACATCACTGATTAGTTGCCACAACAGCGCGGATGAATGACTGCTGTTCATTCTAGTTACAAGGGGGACTTGAAAGATTAAAAAAAAAACATTCTTTTTTTCGGTTCAATTAGTTTCAGCCTAAAGGTTGTTGGCTTAGTAGCCACAACACCAATTTTTCTTGTGCTGTAAAAATGTTCCATTGTAGTTGCAAGTGTTTTCCATTGTTGTTTAAGGTGGGATTTTTAAAAATAAAATCAGATTTTTTTCGGCTCAAGTTGTGTCTGCGAAAAGATTGTCGGCTTTGTTTCTTTTCTTAAATTTTGTTCCGTTGTTGCTGATTTAAAATTCAAGTGTCTGACATGTTTGCCTGGAATGAATTTCTATCGAGACATGAAAGTTTATGTGACCTAGTTTTTCAATTAATTTTCCTCTATAAATTTTTTTCTATAGTGGGATGCTGTCAGGATTTTATCAGGGATTGCGAGTATGGTGATATTTCGTGAGTAGTCAAATTCTTTTAGTTTACGAGATATGGCGACGATTTATTTAATTTTTCAAAAGTTAGATTTAAAAATCACAAAATTTGAAAATACAACCATATAGTTGAGTGCTGTCAAAATACTGTGAGAATTTGTGAAACTTGTAGATTTGCAAATATTGTCTTTTTTTAATTTCCGAGATGTGGCGTTTTTCACGATTTTTCCTAAATTTTCAAAAAACGTAATTTAAAAAGCTTCAGCATTTGAAATTCTCAATTCTATGGCTGGCATTTTTCTGGTTGCTGTCAAGGTACTCTAACATGGTTTTTAGCTGGACTCAGAATATGACCGCCCAACGCTTTTTCGAGATTTGAAAAAACCACCTTTTTGGGCGATGGCAGGGTGCTACCAGCTGTTGCAGATGTGACTCACGTCAAAATATGGTTGCTCAATTCTTTTGAGTATATTTATTTCGTTGTTTTTTCATATAATTTATATCTGAGCAGTTTTCAAGTTTTTCAATCTGTTTGAAGCCCCGGAGTTGCAAGTTGCCTGCTAGTTTAATTGAAGTGTTTTTGTCCTTGCTTATAATTTTATGATTTGCTGTAGTTAATTAAAATGCAGAAAAGGCTGCTCTGTGTTGCTAGAAATAGGTAGAATAATTAGTAATTAAAGCGTCTCGGGCACACTTAGTCTGGAGATAACGAATACACCTGGTGTGGCAAAGGTCATGGATTGGAATCTGGCCCGGACCTTTTTTTTCAAACAGGAAATATTCGGTTTAAAACATGTCTGCTTATTATTTGTAGACATCTTTTTAACGGCTTAGTTGTCTTAACGACATATTTAGGCGGCGGCTACTGTCTTGTCGGCTTGGTTGCCTCATCCTAGAAATTTTTTGCTTTATGCTTCATTTGGAATTTTCTAGCCTTGACTTCGTATTTTTAATTTTTTATTGCTTAAAAAATTTCTAGGCTTATATGATTTCGGCTTATTTTTTATCGGCTTACTAACCTAATTTGACCGTTCGAGGGAACCATAATTTGTATGCTTTCCTCCGGATCGAACAAAACGTTAAAACTCTCAGAATAGAATTTATAGTTCACATTTTTTTGATGACAACGTTTTTTCGGTCGGAAATTGTTTTTGAATTTTTTTAAACGCCATCGAATGTGGTTCTGGAAGTGTTTTCAGCAATTAGAACATCATTCTAGACAACATTTTGAAGTTTTTAAACTTATTTTTCTTTGGACTTAGTTGCTTCCTTTCCTGTCTGCTTGCTTGCAATGCTATTTTGTGGTTAGTTTTTTTTGTTTTCCACGCAAAATCATCTACCACAAATAATCATCGGACTGTTTTGAAGTGATATATCATTTTAAAGCCCTTTCAGTCGAGAAAAACCGGTTTGAAATTTTTGATTTTTCGTCTAATTTCGAGCGAGTGAGCAGGCTTACACTAGCTTATTCATGCTTAATTTAAGCCTTGAAAATTTAGTTTTACTCGAATGAAGTTTCGTTACTCAAATTTTGTTTTTGGAGTTTTTATCTTCATCTTAAAAAAATTTTTTTCTCGTTATTTGTCTTCAAAAATTGTTTTCGAATTTGCATATTTTACAATGACAGACGAAACTGCCTAAGCTCTATTTTTTTGCTCAGAGTTTTTTATCACACCACGCCGAAAAAACTACACCAATTTGAAAAAAATCATAATAATTTTGTAAGACTGGTCGGAACATTCTGTGCTACTTGCACAGTAACCGGCTATCCTTGTTTTAGTGTGCGACGATCTGATGGGCTTGAATGCACTTGATTTTACTTTTCAATTGAAAGACGAGAACTATCTCGACTACCTGTTCGTCATTGACTATTCGCCATATCTTAACTTCTCGCAATGCCCTGAAAGCCAACAGATTGATGACCTTGAACTGAGTCGGCTTCGATTGAATGGTAATAACAGAAGGTCCAGTGATGTTCGGATCAGTGAGTCAATAGCTTCCGAGGATATTTCTCAGCCAGATTATGAAGATGATAGCTTGTTGGATCCCGAAACTTTCTTCGGGCCTGACAGTGGAAATGACGGAGCATCTGGTGGTATGCAAAATGTGCCACTAGGCATCAATTTGAGGCTGCATGGTGATCAGGGGTCCCCAACAATTGCGAATGATGAGTTACATAGGTCGAAAACTGTAAGAGTTCATAGTCCGCACCCTCCGTCCAACAATGGATCAGGCGCGATATCTCGAAGCGTCTCAGCTATTTCATTGAACTCTAGTGTGTTTGCTGATCTCGTGAACCAAAAGAGTTTCCTGGAAGAAATGCTATCTCAGAAGACAAACCAAGTTGAGATTCTGAAAGCAGAGAACGAAAGATTGAAGCACGTAATCAAAATGGCGGAAAGTAGTGCAAGTAATGAACGCCATGACTACGAAGCAATAATTTTGGAGCTTCAAGAACAAATTAGTCAGATGCATTGTAATAACAGTAAGGCGATGAATCAAACCCCTCCTGCGAATATAAACAGTGCTAGTAAAAATAGATTAAGTAATGGTGCTAAATTTGATGCAGTAGTAATTAAGGAAAATGGACATAGCTCAAAGCAAAGCAGTTCAGCTACTGCCAATCAAAATACGAGTGTACCTTCAAAAGCAAAAGCCGCTCATCCACTTTAGAAATGTATATTTTATTATCACCGAGTACAGTATTCTTAGTCTATCTTTTCCATTGTTCACTGTAGTTTAGTGTTCTTCATTTAAAGTGATGATCTTTCAAATTTGACCTATATCATTGTTTTTTTTCTAAGTTTTCGCGTTATTAGACATTAGATAAGCTTAGGAGGGAAAATTACTATAATATCGGCAAAATAGTTGTACTTCGTGGAAGTTCTTTATACAATAAATAGTTTTTGCTTTAATAGGTGGGAAATAATGAAAAATAGTCTTTCGTAGACCACCTTGCAGTTTTTCGGCAATTTCTGTGATCCACGGGAATTAAGTCGACCTATCAAAGGAAAACTAATAAACTTTTAGCTGTACTTACTTTTTTTTTTGCTTATAGTGGTGCCTGGAAAATGTTCAATTTTTGCAAAAAAAAAATTTCTTCGAGCAAGTGTAGCCGGTTAGAAGCTTAGAAGGTGCTGACCAAAACAATTGGACAATTTGGGAAAAAAACGATTTTTAAAAATTCTTTGTTTACCCTTGCGATAAGCAAGGGTATTGCAATCGCGTACTAGACTTTTCCCTTAAACAACTTTGTTAACAGGATCTCAAATTTCAGAGGATCCCCACTTCTAGACAAGCTTTTATAAACAGTTTTTAAAAAAAATTTTTAACAGCCTTTATAAAAGTTTTGGTTCTAAAGCTGAAACAGTTTTGAGAGTTGAATATATTTTTGGATTTCGTCCCAATTTTTGTCTGCTGATTCTCTCTTTCTCTCTCTCATTCCGAACCCCTCACGGCCAACCATTTCCTGCTTGGACGACCATCTGTGAAGCTGCCAACTGTTTTTTTTTCAGCCGCGATATATAAGAAACATGACTTCATGGAAGAATGCACAAGCTTTCACTGAACAATTCTGGAAACGACTTCTACGCGAATACTTGCCTACACTCAATCAACGACGAAAATGGACTAAGCCCGCTGCCTTTGGCCCCTGTGACGGGTGCTTTGTACGTTTCCCGGTTCAGATGGAATAGTAAGATTGTGCGAAGTAGAGATCAACCATGGACGCCTCCTCAGATCCGCTATAAAACTCTTTTTCTGAAAATTTTTGGTTGCAATTTTGACTCTTTTAGCTACGAAGTTTTTTGGTAGTGATGCACATGATTCAAGATATTTGGTTTGTTTGAAAATTGTTGCTTTTTTTTTTTTTTTAATTGCTGTTTTTCCATTCGCGCGTCTTTTCTCGTTATCTTTTTTTTCTGTTGTGATTCATCTTTGTTGTTGCGTTTTAACTTGATATTTAATAATATTGATATAATAATTTTCGTTTGATACATTTTACAGGTACAATTTTCTTTTCAATGTTCTAGAAATTCAATTAATAATAATTTCTTTTCTAGAAATTCATTTATTTGGGAATTTTTCTTCACTTTTGTCTTCAAGTTATAAAGAGTAGTTAAATAATTCAGACTCTCGTATAGATCGGAAAGTCTTAAAGTTTTTTAGAATCAAGTTCGCTTTTCGCGGTTTGACTTCTGATAGTTTAAGTTCACTTCATTTTCTTGGTTGAAAAAAGGCAAACTGCACTATCGAACAGCAAAAGTGTAATGGTTACAAAAACTTCATCGACTTCTAGTTTCGAAAGTTAGTGATCTAGTTTTCTCAAATTTGTTTTATTATATCAAAAAGTGTCAATCTTAATTTGTTCTAGAAGTTTCAAGAGCTCTGTTTTTGTCTTGAAATCGAAAATTGGGATTTTTCGAAAAAAGGCAGTTTTTTTCTGTCTTTTGGCTGTGTCGGCTATGTTCAGCTATGAGCTTCATTCATCACTTTTGTTGTTGTTTTGTTTTTAGTTCGCAGAAAATTTCTGATAATGTTTTAATATGATCCCGTTGGTGTGTTTTGGTTGGCTCGAAGAGTTTTAGCTGATTTTTTGGATTTGTATTTTTTGACCACAACATCAGTTTTTTTTTCATTTTCATCTTTTATAGCGATGAGAACGAAATAAATGTAGTTTGTGGAGCATGAATCATTTGTATATTTTAACTATTTTTTTAATATAAAAGTGGCAATAAGGAATTTCAGTGGACAATTTTAACATAATTCTTTTTTCGCATTTAATTTTTTCGAATTTCAAAATTTGTATTTAAATTTGTATAGCAAGTGGTGCGAAGCTCAGCTTCGCATTTGCTAAAATTTTCATTTTTGATGCGGTCTGTAAATAAGCGAGAGCCAATCTTATCTTTGCGAAATGCAAAGTTCATAACCAAAACGGAAAAAACTCACAAAAAATTCTCTTTTTTGCGCATGGAAAGCGCATAATGCATCTTCATAAAAGCAAAAAATTAGTTTATATGGTTTATTGAATTAATTTTTGCTCTTACTTGCTTGCCGTTTTCACTCATTGGGTTACAAATCAAAAATTTCAAAAAAGTTTTTCTTGACAGCTATATTATGATATATAACTCAAACGCATCTGTCGGCTTGCACAACTGACGTTTTGCATGAAAAAAGTTGAAAACGAAAAAACTGAAACTTTTGAATGAAAATGCCTTCCCACTTTCAGTGGTCCGAAAATCATGATCAGAGTTTACATACAATTCGATGTTCTTTGCTTCTACACATACTAGTATGAGGTGCCCAATTTTGCACCAAATTAACATTAAGAAAGTCTTTTTTCTTTCAGATAATGATTAACAAACATGAAAATGGCAACTTCAGGATAACTATTTGAAGCATGGCTGCACCTAGCGATACCTCCACCGACTCATTGTTGCTTCTTAACTCAGCGAGGGAAACTAACTACCCCAAAGAGGATCTGAGAGATGCCGATTTTCTATTTGTTGACTCTGAAATTCCTGCCGACGATGATGAGGACGAAGGCGATGTGTCAACGCGAAGCGCTCCTTCCGGCCTCATGGCCGATTATGACGTCAGTATCTCTTTCGACCTGAACAAAGATGAAAACAGTGCCTCGTTTGATGTGAACAAAAACGACAATGACGTTGACCTGCTGCAGTCAGAACGCAGTGATCATTCGGAGTTCGAAAGCGCAACTGATGGTTTGGCTTCTGTAGATAACAAAACTGTAACGGAGAGTAAAGATATTCATCATTCAGAATGGCCAATGCTGGCTAATGGTGTTCTGTCTCAGTATCCTGGTAGGTATCTCCTTTATCGAGTTTTTAAGCTAAGAATTTTGTTTGCTTAAGTTTTGTCTCAGTTAAAAATATCAAACTAATTATACGGTTTTAGGGAATTTATAGTAAATTTGACTTCGTTTTTTTGCAAATTTATTGGATAGGTTAAAAATTTTGTGAGGCTTGCCTTAGATGAATCAGCAAGCTTAAACACACTTCTGCCCGCCTTAAAAACCCACGCAAACCAGTCTGCCACGCCTTTAAGCAACAGTGAACGGAATCTCGCGAGAGTCGAACCCCAAGTAAACGTCAGAACTACATCGACCAAAAGATCATCACGAATGGACTCGGCTAGACAGACTGCGGTATCATTGAATGATGAACTTTGTGGTGGAACTAATGTAGCTGGCGACAACATTTCAGCTAGGAAGGGAGATCAAGCCGCAATTTCAGACGTGGAAAGTGGAGTGAAAAGAAACGCGGAAGAGGTAATCTTCCATTTGTCTGATCTCAGTGGGCTTATGGTATACTAATTCAATGTTTTAATTATTTGTTCAGTGCTATTTGATTATTTTTATTTCTGGTTAGGTGATTGCAACTGCCAATCTCAATGTGGTGAGTGTAGATCTGGTTTCTCTCAAAGCTTGGCCTTTTTCTTCTGGGGCTTATTTTAGCAGGAATTTTCAAGACATTCAGATTTTCTAGAAAGAAAAAATGGCGATTGGAACTCGTAATTGTGAAAGTCTTTTCTGACCAGTTAGAACATTGTTACCGGTGCTATAAAGTCATCCTGGCAAGTTTCAAATTACCTTGACAATTTTTTGGATGTTTAATGTGTTGATTTAAAACTGTTTTAGACCCGATTTTTAGAACGAGGATTTTTGTAGGTCATAAAAAATATATATATTTTTTAAATGAGTAATCAGCAAGTTATAGAGTAGACAGGTCAATATCAGCTCCTAAATGCTTGTCTTATTCTGTCAATGGCATTTAGAATTCGGTTAAATCCAAATAAAATTGTTTTTTTTTCTAATCTTGATTTTTTTAGTTGGAAGCGGTGGCTGGTGAGTTGAGACAGGGTCTGGGTCTGGTGTTCGAACAGCTGAACAAAATAGTGGACGGGGACACCAGTCTGGCCAAACAGTTAGACTCGCATAGAGCAGAGCTGGCTGAAGTGAGTAATATCTGATGCAACAATTTCATCATTGTTTCGTTGAAACTATATGTCGCAAGGTTGACTAATAATGGGGACAAATTGTTTGGATAGAATTGACTCAGCGAAATTTTATCATTTTTGTTATTCAAATTTAAGCATTACAGTTTAGATAGAATTGAGATGCAAGTTAATTGTCGTTGACAGGAATATGTCCGTTTCAGTTCGTCGAGATATAGCTTTTGACGATTCCTATTCGCATTGATAATCAACAAAGGTTGTCACGTCAATTTTTAAAGCACGATTGACAATATTTTTGAACGTTTTTTCCAGGTGTGTCGACTGGCTGTTGGTCTTCGGAGCGATATGTCCACTCTGACTTCTCGCCAAGAGCGTCTCGAAAGTGAAATGAAAGACCTGAAGATGGAACTGGGTATCCGCTACTCAACAGCCAGCGAAAGTTCGCTTGTCCCACCAAGCACAAATAGCATCACTCGGAGACAAGGCGACGGAGCCTCTTCTGGATGTCTGGATAATGCTATGGGTGGTAGTGGAGTGAATAAAGATATGAATCGAGCATTGTCTCCGAAGTATAATTGTGCGAACTCACGATTGTCTTCAATCCGAAGTTTCAAAACGCTGTCAAAGGCGTCTGTTGCAGATAATAATGGTACGTCAACAGTTGATAACAAGAATCGCCGGTTGCTGTGCACGTAGCACAGAATGTTCCGACCATATTCATAAAAAACTACTCTTCAAATCTTCAAATTATTAAGTTCTCAAAATTAGTGTTGCTTTTCATACGTGGTGTAATGATCACACTAAAGAGCTTCGAGCATAGTGTATTGCTGCGAACCTTTTTTTCTAATCTAAGGCGCAAACAAAAGTGTTTATTAAAATTGTTCACTTATTTGGTGACACCATTGCTATAATCACGATCTCTAGCATTGGAAATTTCATAGCATTTGTTCTCTGCCTCATTTGTGGCTAGTGTTTGTGAATCCTTAAATATCCTTGGCTGAGTGGTTAGTGCGTGAGACGCAAAATTTCAAGGTTGCAGATCGAATCCGCGGCGTTGCCGAATTTTTACTAATTCGAGTCTTGTGTCTTTTTATTTCTACTTTATATTGCACTTTATAGAGCTGATTTTTTTCGTTTTCGCGCTAGTGTTTGCAAATTTTTGCCTCTGTGTAACACTATAGCTAGTAATTTAAGCATAATCGACAATAGTTGTCTCCACAAAAGAATAAGAAACTAAATTTCAAAAAACTCGAAATTTTAATTGTTTTTGAACAATAGTTTTTAAAGTTAGTTTTTTTGCCATGGGAGTGCAAAATTGAGCTTTCAAAACTAGTTTCCGTTTGGAAGAATCAATTACTTGTTAAGCCTAAATGATCAATTAAACAAGACGAAAAACCGAAAATTTCCAAACGGTTTTTCTCGACACTGGGATTTTTTTTGGATTTTTTGTCGTTCAAATTACGACAGAAAGGGCTTTAATATATATATATCACTCAGCACACTCCGATGATTGTTTGTGGTACTTGATTGTGCGTGGAAAACAAAAAGAAAAAACTAAAACACCCGAATACAAAGTTCCTCCCATTTTCATTGGTTTAAACAGCAATGTCTTTTGAAATGACTGTAGATGAAACTTGCACACTGCTGTTGAAACACCACAAAAGCACCTAGGGATAGTAACTCAACGGGATGCAGTTTCTAAAAATCCCTTTTCTGGAATTGAAAATTATTTTTTTTGGGCGATTGTGAAAAAAGATTTTAAATTTTTGTTCAAATAAATACATCAACTGTGCGATACTGCAGGGGATACACTAAGGCAAAAATGATGACCACTCCTGGCTTACACTGAAGTTTTCTGAAGTAGACATTGCCTTTTTCAAAGAAATTTTGCTTTATTGACCAGTCTATTTTAATACAGTTTGGCTTTATAATCTTTTCCTTCAGACACCGTCAGTTTTACCTCGGCAACTCATAAGTCATCCACAATGCATGCTGCTGGTGCTGGGGGCTCTACTACTAACATGGACAACTGTGGTGCCTATCCCAGTTCAGCATCCACTCACAGCAGCTCATCACACCTCACAAACACAATCACCAGGGCAGACTATAGTAAGTTGTTTTCTTTAAGATATAATAAACTCATTTCTCTTGAATAGAACTAAGGAAAATACGACAGAAATTTTTTGGAAGTATTTACCGTTTAAATTTCATACTAAGGCTTGTTAGACCTGCTAGACTAATTTGAGACTGATGTTCAGTTGAGGTATTTTGTTGTCTAGATCTTTCTATTGAGTTATGAAAAATGGTACCATACGATATAACGCCTGGCATATTTCCTTCCTTCCTACCCTCTAAATTCGCCTAACCCAATGTGTTTGCACTTCACGCCCTCTAAATTTAGCTGCATTCTAACACTCAAATTTATTTCAATCATTTAACATCGTGCTTGAAACCAGCTTTTTCATGGTCAGAGGGCGTTTTGGAATTCTTAGGTTGATAATTAAAGCTTATGGAGTGGAATGATTCTGGGTTATTGCTACTAGGTAGAAATGTATTAGCCTCGGTCAAAAATATTTTTCTCATGGGTAATAGATTTGAGCATATGATAATATTTATGGTGTCGAACAATGTATGAATGGTACTGAGCTAAAATTGAACTGTTTGTGTTAGTTAATGCAGCAGAGAATTTCGATAAGTCGATCAAGGAGAGCTTTATGAAGTCTGCTTCGATGCACACTGAACTGTATGAGCTACTCCATCATTATATCGGACATTACCTGAAGACTTCTCGCAAGATGGAGAGCTGTATCCAGAAGTCAGAGTACTCACAGTTCAACGCGTGAGTAATCAGTCTTTCTTAACCCTTGTAGTTTTTAGCTCAAAAATATATTCATTTTTTCCGAAAGCAAAGAAAAAATTACCCCGGTATTATCAAAATATCACTTTGCTCAAAATATCATTTTATTCTAGTAAAAGTCAGGGCGAGATGTCCAATTTCTGTCAAGGTACTTAAATTTCGACGTTCAAGAGAGTTTTGTTGCTTTTTAATTCATTTTTTTATTTGGCATTTTCATTCAGGTTTTGCATGTGAAGATTTGTCTGCTTTACTTTTTTTCCAAAGAATTTTTTTCAGACTGAGTATTTGTATTTTAGTTTTGTCGCGAACGTTGTATTGTCTCTTGCTTGCTTTCGTTTCTGCTGAAACTACGAAGGGAATAAAAATGTAAATGGTTCCTAATCAATTAAAGTGTCATAAGAATAGCCGCTTGCTGTTCAAATGGTACAGATAGTCCGATCTTATCCGAAAATAAAACTCAGATCGAAGTCATCAAGACCAGCAGAGTCGGCTTCTGCGCAATTACCAAAAAAAAAATAGGTTGTTAATAGGAAAACAGCAAGGTCATATAGTGCAAGATAAAGGACTTTAAACCCAAAATCTCTAGGGTGAAAGTTTTAACCCTATAGGCGGCAAATTCTTCTTTTTCAAAGCTTATTAAATTACTTTGGCATTTTCTTGCAATTTGAAGCTTCCCTTTGCTATTTTGTACGTGTTTTCTCCTTGGTTAGTTTTATCAAAAATTGTTGAAATGAGATCTCAAAGAGTTTTACGTTCGTTTTACGATTTTTTTGTTTGCTCGTTTTGTTGTCACGCTCAAAATTGTTCTGTTTGTGGGTTTGACTTTCGATTTCTTTTTAAGAGCATTTCATTTCCTTTGTTAAAGTGGAGGCAAAATCCGCTATCGAACTGCAAAATTGTGAAGGGCACAAAAAACGTTTCAAAAACGGACTTCAATTTTCTGAATCCGCAGCGGAATAAAAAACTTTTTGTGCGAGTTTTCTCTTAATTGTATAATTTTAGGAAAAGTGTCACGTTCCTTTGAAATTCGAAGTACAGGGGTGGATCTAGAATTTTCTGGAAGGCTTTTGTTTAAGTCGACCAAATTGATTTTCTGGGCTCTCTCAAATCACTATAAAGACCCCATGTTGACCAAACTGTCTGTGAAGCAGGCAAATTTTTGAAAAAGGGCATTTTCAGGCACTTTGAAATTTTTGGTAAAAAAATCTTAATTTTTTGGCGCGCGCTCCTCTATTAGTATATTTTGGCGCCTTTAGAAAAACTTTGGGGTCAGTCAGCCAAAAATGGATGTCTCAAAATAGTACAAAGGGGGTCCCTTTGGGTCGGCAGGGGTCGAATCCCTGAGGGGAGCATCCGCTCCGCCCCCCTGCACCCGCTAAGTCAGCTGGTGGTTGGCTATCTTTTAAGTCTGCTGGAGCTCATTCATTGACATTTTTTACTGACACCTACTGTCTGAAAACTTTTGGAGCGATTTTCGTATATCCGAAAGATACGGTTTTCTTGAGCTGGAAATGAAAATGGACAAGTTAGATAATTAATGCATGCTAACTACCCCTTTTCAATCATCGCAGAGCGTAGGCGATGAATCAATACGGTTCAGAAATCATTCCAAATTGATATGAGGCAAGCTGTTTGGTCTTATTGATGCGTTACTAAGCCTGAAACTTATCAATTTCTATCAGTATGAGGGGAACTAAAAAATTTGAAACATTTTTGATTTCTTTTTTATGCTTTCATTTAGCAAGCGTTATCAAACTTGAATATAGACTTTTTATAGTTTACAACAAGTTTAACAAAATCACTGAATCATTTCTGCAGCATTCAATTCTGCAGCAACCAAACATGCGTAATTTCTTGAAAATTCAAATTTAACTACTGGATGCGAAAGGTACCAGTAGACGGCTAAAGTACTACGCTCGAATCCGGTCAGCGCCTGCTTTTTAAACCTAAAATATTTAATATCAAAAATGATCGGCCTATGGGTTGTCTGCTTATGGTTTGTCGGCTTAGTTGCCACATTTTGCCACATTTCTTAAGATTTTTTTTGTAACTTAAAGTGTATTTTCATTTCCCCCGTAAACAAGTTTTCTTACACATTTGTAATTGAAATCGATGTTGCTTTATTATCGAACCTTAGCAACTTCAAGGCCTCATCGCTCTTGGTCTGGACTCTGGAGGTAATGCAGTTGCTTTTGAAACCGAAGGTCGAGGGTTTGAATCCCGGTTGGACGTGTTTTTTTAGTGTTTCAAGTTGAAATTTTGGTTGAAAGTTCAATATTGGTCAGTCGGGTTTTAGTTGGTCGGCTTATGTTTTGTCTGCTTAGTTGCCACCCCACTAGTTTTTATTTGCGCTGTAACCAGTTCTCACAAAGTCTCAAGTATCGTTCATAAACTCCTGTAATATTTCAAATTTTCTATCACTGACTGGTATATTTCCCGGTGTTCTTTTCGCTTAGAAATTTTGTTAGGCCTAAATGATATCGGCTCCTGTTTTGTCGGTTTAAATGATTCCGACTCTTCTTTTGTCCGGTTAGTGAAATTATTTTGCATCGGTATCAGAATAAAAAGTGATTGTTCATATTTTTAGTAAAGCAGCTCGGCTGGTAACATGAAAGTTAAATTTTTTAATCGCTCTATTTTTTGAGAATAATTTTTCGACATTTCTCGAAGAATGACATTTTTCGTTTTCGGAATTATTGGCTTCTCACTACGAGTTATTGGCTTATTGAACGCTTGAAATGTACTAGAAGCTTGTTTTATGCTAGTGGCTGGGTTTTCGTCGTTTTCAGAGATTGATTTTTCGTCTTTCTTGATTTATTGATTTTTTATGACAATCAATTCCTTTGGTTTTTTGTTTTCCGATCAATTGGCGTCTAACCACGTGTTGTGGCTTAGTGGACGCTCGGAAAATACTAAAAGCGTGCTTATTGCTAGTGGTTGTGTTTGTCATCTGTGTTTTTTTGATCGAAATTTTGGTAATTCCAGTTTTTTCCACTTAGTTATTCCATCTCTTTGACCATTTAGTAGCTTGCAATGGTACACTTTCGTTGTATCGCAAGTGATGCGAAGCTCCGCTTCGCCTCTGTGAAAATTTATCAAATCTTCTGTTCCAAAAACTAGTTCATAGTGTTTAAGCGCAGTCGCAACAATCCGTCGGGTTTTTGTTCAAGTTTTTCATTATTGACATTGTTCAAATCACTCTTTGATTTGCTTGTGTATGCGAAGTGCAACTTTGCCTCTGTGTAAATAATTGTTTTTTCGGTTCAGTCATATAGGTTTCGTTTGTAGGCGCTTGACTTTCCCGAGTGTCCTGCGTGCTATTAAGGAGTGCAACCAGCAATTGTGGAAGAGCTGGAATGCATGTGTTGAGTGTCTACAAGATAGAAATAGTTGCTCGAGTGTATCTGGTGGTAATTCACGGATTGTTTTACGAGAGACATTCGCCGAGAATTTGCTGTCGGCACTGAGACTATTCATGGACAATGATCTAGAAGTAAGTATACAGCTGTTAATGTTACAAGCACTTTTGAGGGATCAGGTCACGTGTCATCTCAAAAAAAAACTATTGGTAGCATGCGACATTTGACTGAAAATCAACTTAAGCAAAATAAACTGAAATCTATTCAAGACAAATTGTTTTAAAAACAACCTTATATTAGTTTTCACGAATCATCGACTACTGGACCTCAGTAAATGTTACTAGTTACGGCTTTTCTAAACTAGATGTTTTATTGTCGAGTCATAATACAAGCTAGAATGGCGATATTTTCCCACGTAGAAAAGGATTCCTCAAAACAATGAACTCATTTCAGGTCATGAAACCAAATTTCTAAACACAAGCCGAGATGTTTTGGCACGATAGATGATTTTAAAATGTTTCTGGTAAATTTTAGAAAATTTACATCAACGGGTGTCGCAGCTACTTCGAATCGATTCCTACCTCAGTTTCTCAACTCAAGCTATCAATTCAGAACAGTGCAACGTTCGCAAATTACATCGAGGTTAGTCTAATTCAAAGTACTCCAAAAACATGAAGAACTTAATAAATTACTACAAGATAACGAAATTTTATATTTCTTATAGCATAGCCAATAAAAGTTAAAGATGTTTTTCACAATAAAAGTTTAGTTGCCTGTATTTTTCATTGTTGCGAATTCTTACCTACACAAAAGAATTAAAATACTATTGTATGTGTCATTGTTTTGCTTTAATATTTTACAAAATTTTTTCAAATAAATGTCCATTATGCGCAAACCAATAATCAAACAAAATTTGAGATTGTCAGGATCTCTGAAGTATGACGAAGTCATGAGTTCAAATGAGACTTAGATGTTTCATTCTTCTTTAAATCGCATTGTATTAAATGTCTCTATCTTCTAAATACGTTTAGTCTGGAGCGGTTGATGTCAACTGAATGTTACATGGTAAAGTTACAACAATTACTAACATGACTCGAATGAACTAAACTAAAATGCAGCAGTTTCACTTACCCTCCTTAATAATACCTTGCAGAAGTTAATTAACTTAAATGCTAATTGTTTCGATCACTGAAAGCGGTATAGGAAATTTGTCATCATGTGTGTTTAAAAGTAAAAGACCAAGTGATTTTCACCTATATAGATCTCGATTTTTGTTTTTATGGGTGATTTTTGCACCCATTTCAGAAAAATTCTCAAATTTAATAAAAAAATTATTTTTGTTTTTATTACATTTAAGTTTTTTCAGATTATTGCTGCTCCATAGACTGCTCTATGAATTGAGGCTCGTTAATTGATTTTTTTTTTCAAATTGACTGGTACTACTAATGCGTCATAATTGGCGTGCATCTAAGTTTGTTACATCCATGGTGAGGTATTTTAGTTTTTTTTATTACGTGGTCGGAATTTTCTGTGCTACTTGCACAGCAACCGGCTCTCCTGGTTCTAATTTAATTTTAAATGGTCGACTTACATATTTTCGTTTTGGCAGGGTTTTCTAACACCGTTTTCTATTTTATTCTTGGTTTTGAATTTTTGTTTGCCTGAAGAGTAAAGTGCACTCATTTCAGTTGGAAGCCTTGCAATTTGAAATGGGCAAAATTAGAATTGGAATATTTTCAGGATCAAGCGAGGAGTACAAGAATTAGACTGACTAAGCTGTCCCACTGGGATCCTAGTCAGAGTCAAGGTCACACAGAAGTCATGCACTGGATGATGATGTTGCCCTACCGCATGCTCAAGTTGGATCAGTCCTTCCTGGATGTACGTAGTGTATATTTTTTTGCCTGAGGCGGCGGTTTCCGGATTTTGTGTAGAATTTTTCAATCGACCTTTTATAAGCCGAATAAATTTTTTTTCCAAGATCTCAAAAACCCTATTTTACCAAAATTTTTTGCTTCGCAGGCAAATTTTCGGAAAAAAAACAGGGGGAACGCATCGTTTTAGGGCTTCTTGGAAGATTTTGAAAAGTACTTGAGAAGGCCAAAATATTGCTCATCTTTGGGCTCACCCGCAAAATGTTGAATGAGAAAAAAGATAATTAGATGAAGTACAAGCAAGTCTCTCACAGTCTCTGGGTATAGGGCCTCTAATTTCGTACTCTCCCGGAGATAACGTCGTTATCTCTCCGATTTCGTGGCACAGGAGGGTTCGGATCCGTTCCGGGTGTCCCACTGGACCTTCCTTCTGTTCAGTTTTCTTCCGATAAGCGCCTAATCTTGCTATCTCGATAAGAGGCTTCGTTTTTCTCTTATTTTCTTCCGACTAATTTCCGTCTTGTAAATCCGGTTGTGTGTCTGGTTGTGTTGTTTTTCTAATTTTTGGTCAAAATGCCCGTTTCTTGCATTTCTCAGAAATGTTCTAGCTCAAATCGAAATTTTAAAAATTTTAAATTCTAGAACATTCTGAGCCTCCTTTTCATTAGCATTCCGGTGCTAACGCCTTCAAAGTTTTATTTTACATGAATCGGCGGGTTCGACTGTGCCAGTCCGGGGGAATGGCCCATGGATCTGTAGCGTAGAGGTAGGGAATAAGACCTGCAACAAAATAAAAGGGTTCGAACCTGGGCAGGGTCGCATGTTTTTAATGACCTTTTTCGTATACTAGTTGAAATGCGTCCGCTCTATAAATTGAGGCATGTTAGTTGTTAATTTGTTTTTTCAATTTGACTGGTACTGCTAAGGCATCATATTTGGCTTGCGTCACTTAGCAATTATGCAGACTTAAAAATTTTGTGGACTCAAAGTGTTACTCATTCAGTTTTTCCCAGTAGCGTTATCGGTCATATTTTTGCTTGTGTATGCGAAGTGCAACTTCGCCCCGTATAGTTTTTAAATCATTGTTCTGATAAATCAATGAAACATTGTTCTGATGATGTAATTTTCGGAATGTGCTTTTAATTCTGCTTAAAGTTCAGAAGGAAAGAAAAAAGTGCCAGCGATTTTTTGGATAGTGTGGCCAACTTTTATGGGCTCAGTATTAAAACGATACCTTAATCTTATTTATCTAAATGTCATAGAAGGTGAAGTAATGATAATTTACGTGATAACACGTCACTACAATGAGCTTCATTTCAGACTGCCTCAAATTTCCTCACAAAATGTACCTGTCCATCACACTTGCACCACGAAGAAGTCGCTGAACGTGACGACGCTCAGCCACAACGCGAGTCCAGACAACCCCACAAGGCGGTTTCAATATCGTCGACAGAAAATGGAAATATCATGCATAGCACGCCAAACGGGGTGGATGATAATGCGAGTCTTATTTGCAGTGAGTCGGCAATGAGATTCACGCCTGTGCTTCGGATGATTCACGAGGTGTCTACTCAGATTTCGAAGTGCATGCGAGATGCGGAGACTGTGTTGATTAATTGTAGAGATGTTGAATGTGATTTGTCGTCTGAGTTCTGGGGAGAGCCTTACAAGTAAGTTCTATACAATAACTCAAGAACCCAATTTAATTATTTTCAAATCGCACTTAAATATAAAAACTTCGAATGTCTCACGTGATTTTTATCAAGATTTTGAGAATCATTTCAAACATAATGAAGAGTTTTTTTACAGAAGGTAAATTAAAGGGTCGGATATAGGATTTAGCTTGAAAATATATTTAAGGTACTTGAATCTGCTTTCGTTGGCAATTCTCAACTTAAACTACACGAATGATAAGCAATGGTAAGCTAGTGCAGATCTTTCAATTTTTAAATCTTTTCTTTCAGCTGTCTATCTTCTGAATCCTCGCCTCTTCTACCAGACGCAAAAATGCCACTTGGCATTTCTTCTCAAAACTTAAACTTTGTTCAAAACGGATCCAGTGAAAAATATCAAAACGAAGACATAATGAATTCTTACTTAAATTTGAACAAGATACTAAACAGTCAAATGAGTACAGATACTGTGGTATCGGAAGACGTGCAAATGTCCAATAGAGGGATCCCGAAATCTCAAACAATCCAGGACTTCGCTCAGGTTCAAGTAAGCAACTGCGCTACACCGACAAACAAGCTAATGCACTCGTCCTCCTCTGAGTTCCTGAACAAATCTCTAAAACGTGAGCTAAAAACTATTCCAAGAGACTTATTTCCGAACGATCATTACGCAAATTGTAAATGCGAACTTTGCTTTGACCGAGATCGCAGGGATAACCAATTAGTGCCAAGCATGTTGTATGAAAACAATTTGGTCGAATTCGAACAATACGAGCTCGAAAAATCTAAGAAAATTCAGGCTGAAATGCAAGCTAAAACTAAATCTGCTACTTCAGAGCAGTTGTTCGAGGATTTGGAAAATATTTGCCTCAATGCTGAAATGACTGTAAAATGTCTGTTGCCATTTAAAGATCTAAAGGACATGATTCGCAATGACCATACTGTTATGAACAATGAAGACATACTAATTAAAGAAACGGGAGATCAATTGGTAATTCATCAGAAACTGCCTGAAGAAAAACGGTCAATTGAACCCGAAAAAGAACCCGTTTCAGAGCACGCCTATCAGATTACAGATATCACAAACGAACAATGGATGGATGATTTAAACCATGTAGTTCCAGCAAATACTAATTCAGCTGGGCAGAAAAATTTGACAGATGCAAAAATGTATTATCACAGGTACATAATGCCTTATCAAAAAGCAAGAAACGTCGCCGAGCCGCCTCAAAAAGACGACGATACAGCAAAGAAGAAGAAAACTTCAAGTCAAAGTAGAAGTAAAAGTAAAGCGAAGAAGAGTTCGACGTCTCAGGCACTGATTGTTGACGATTCGACTAATTTGGAGAGTTATGAACAAAGAACAAGTAGCTTGTCAGCAACATGGAATAAAGTTAGATCTCGAACACCATCGCTCAAAAGCGATCTTTGCGGAGGGCTTCTGTCTGCTGATAATTCAGATCTGCGAGATTATTACAACATGAGTGGTGGCGGGTTCAAGTCCGGTCAAAAGGATTCAGGGATGTCTAAATCAGAACAGAACTTGGCACATACTTACGGATACTTAGTTCAAAATCATGATTCGGATTCACGAGAACATGGCAGAGCACCAGATGAAATGGAAGGGATGTATGAGTTACAGAATGGTGAAGATAATGATAGCTTGCCCTATACGAAGAGTTCTCCCAAATACAGAAGAAGCGGGACGGTAGTAGTTTCGGGTTCGAGTAACAGGGTCCCAAGTGGGTGTGAGTTAACCCCTCTTGCCAATGGGCGAACTGAGGAGCGAAAGACGAGGAGCAAGTCTCTGAAAAACCTGTTCGGAATGAAATCTCGAGACAAACGGTATCTAAATATTTTACAAATACTGTATCGTTTTATAATTACTATCTGCCTAATTGTGATTACAGTCAAGGATGTCTTGAATGAGCAAAGAATCTAAAAAAATCCTTTCATGAAAACACATTGAGAGTGATAGTCTTTTTACATGCATTTTTTCAAGAGCAAGAATAATTTTTTGAGTATTCATAATATGATTAGTAATTAATTTACAGCCGACCGATGAGTGAAATGCAGGTTAATCATTTTCTGTTATTCCATTTTTTGTTTTCTCATGCCTTCAATTTTAGCTCGGTCCGTCTATCCTCTAAGGGAAAACACAATTTGTTTTCCTAATTGTGATATTGCAGCAAGTAAGTTGACATTAAAGTGTCCTTCGTCCATTTGAACTAGACCCAATTAACTTCACGCATAAATTACCATTTTCAATTGCAGATAAACGTGCATCAACTAGCGAAATGTCCATTTTGAAATATAAAAGCTGAAAATTCATCGTAACATCTGGCTGTTTGATTGCAGAGTCAATTGCTAATCATGAGCACCTACTTTTTGAGCTGAGCAGTATTAGGTTTTTTTTCAGGGGAAAACAAATGTTTTTAATCAGTTCATGATGATTAATCGTGCTCGTTTTTTTTCTTCGAATCGGGTCATAATTTTTGACATCGTATTCTTGTTTAAGAAAGAGTCTGAGAGTGTTTGTCTACTTGTATTAAAGGCTCACTAGATTTTTAGGTTCTTTGCGATGAAAAAAGGACTCACATTGAAATCGTGTAACTGTCTTTTTGTCAATCATTCATACCATCATAACCCCTCAAGGCTGACTGTTTTTACTTCTTAACTTCAAGTCTGGTCTTTAATTCGATGTCAATGGTGTATTTAACAAAATGCTTTTTTGAATGAACTGTAGGAAACGACGCTTTATAAACTGGGCTAATATTCAGATACACAGCACCGCTTATTTGAAACAAAATTTGGATCGTTAGGCTAGTAAACTGAAGAATCACCATCTTTAGATCATAAACTGTTCATGAAAATGGAAAAGTAATAATTCAGTTTTAATTTACAGGAAACAGACGAAAAGCGATTCTGCCTCAACGCACAGCCGAGGCAGCGAAAGCAACGCTTCCACTTTAGATAGAAAACTCAGCAGAACAGACTGTTCAACTCCGAATGTACATGATATAAACAAACACACCGTAGATTACATTGCATCCTTATCATCCGTAGCTGTAGAAACAGCGAGACAGTCACGAAGTCGAACCAGTAATCCGAATACTTACAATACAATGGCTAAAGAGAGACATCGGTTGAACTCATTGTCATCCGGGAGGTCGGCGTCCCAGACAAGTCTTTCAATGTACAGTGGGAGTGATCACACCTTAGGCGGTGCAGAAGGGGAGGAGGAGGAGTGGGATATTGCGGTGGCCCCGTTGTCTCCTGCGAGTATGAAGTCAACTAACAGGAGTAAACGGACGGCCATAGTAGCTAGATATGACAGTGAGTTAAACAGCATTACTGCAGCAGAGTTGCAGCAAAATGTTTTATTCTAACATGTATGCTTTTAACAAGCAGTTATTAGGAGTCGATGAAGCTAGTTCAGTCTCTTATAAATGTCGTGGTGATTTTTTTCCAGGAAGTCATGAAATTTGTTAAGGCTCAAATTTAATTTTGCGGTTTGAAATTTGATTTCTTTTAAAGCTCAGTGCGTTTCCTTTGTTAAAAGGAAAGCAAGTTCCACTATCGAACTGTGAAAAAGTAAAGATCGCGAATAACGTGATCATCGACTTCTAGTTTCGAAAGTGGAAATTATTTTTCAGGTTTCCGAGTGGAACACCTATTGATCCAGTTTTCTCGAATTGGGTTAATTTTATGAAAAAAGTCAATCATAAAATTTTCTAGAAATTCCAAGATCTTTAAGGACATATCTTTTTTCTTCTTGACTTTCGAAAGTTGAAATTTAAAAAAGTCAGTATTTTCAGTTTTCTTGAGTTCATTGACTCTTTTCCAACTGTATGTTGGCTATGTTTTGCCATTGTCTCTGTAGATATTTGCCCTAATTTTAAAAATTGTACCATGGAACCTGCTCGCCGCCTGTTGTTTTTACTGGAAAAGCAACTCGGCCTTTTAATTAAGCAGGAGTATGGTAACAAATGAAATCACGCACATGCAGTTACCAGAGAAATACATATATATTTTCGATGCCTAATTCTCTGATATTTACACAAGCAAAGCTTTTGTGATATTACGAACTCTCTTTTTTTTCAACCTAAGTCGCAAATATTAGTGCTCTTTTTGAAGTGCTCTTCTGCAGTATATGCATAGGATCAATAGCCAGCGATTAAGTACAGCAAATGCTAAGGATATTAACACACACTATTGTATTACAAATAGCACTTTAGCTTCAAGGTGTTATGGTTCTGTAGCGTAGAGGTAGGGAAGGAGAACTGCAGCAAAATAAGAGGGTTCTAACCTCAGCAGGGTCGCATGTTTTTAATGAATTTTTTCGTATACTAGTTAAAATGTGTCTGCTCTATAAATTGAGGCATGTTAGTTGGTAAATTTCTTTTCAAATTGACTGGTACTGCTAATGCGTCATAATTGGCTTGCGTCAGTTAGCAATTATGTAGACTCATAATTGGCGTGCGTCACTTCAGAAATTTTGTAGACTCAAAGTTTTACTCATTCAGTTTTTCCCAGTAGCGTTGTTGGTCTTATTTTTTGCTTGTGTATGCGAAGTGCAACTTCGCCTCTGCGTTACACTTGCGATAACTACTGTGTCTCAACCGGGTACTTGACCTAAAAATTTTACCTTTCGAGCTTGTTTTCTCTCAAATTGGGTTGATTTTTTATCAAAGAAGTGTCAAAATTCAAAGAGCTCTAAGGGCATACATTCAAGAATTGATGAACTTAGTTTAGATTCTTATTTAGGTCGCGATGATTTTTTCTTTTTTTCTCCGGAAAAGTTTTCAGGTTCAAATTTAATTTTTGGCGGTTTGATTTTTCATTTCTTTTCAAGTTCAGTTCATTTCTTTTGTTAAAAGGAAGTCAAACTCCACTATTGAACAGCAAAAGTGTAAAGGTCAAGAAAAACGTGATCGACTTCTTATTTCAAAAATGGAAAATAATTATCAGATTTCCCTGGAAAGTAAAAGTTTTACCTATTGATCCAGTTTTCTCAAATTGGGTTTAACTTGTATAAAGTGTCAATTTTAAATTGTTCTACAAATTCAAGGAGCTTTGAGGCAATCTAATTTTTCTTTGAAATTCAAAATTGGAAGGTTTTTAATAAAACAAGTCAGTTTTTTTAAGTTTCTAAGTGTTTTTTACTTTTTTCCAACTGTCAGTTGGCTATGTTTTTTCTTTGAAAATTGAGATTTTTTCTAAAATCAAATCTGTATTTTGTTTACATGCGTTCAGTAAATCTTCCAACTGTCTGTTGACTACGTTTCTTAACTCAGGAAAAGTCTTGAATTTTGTTCAAATTTGATTTTGAACTTGTGTTATTTTTACTTTCTTTGCATATCACAAATTGTATTAGATTATTTTTACTTTCTTTGCATATCACAAATTGTATTAGAAAATAGAGCTTAAAGGGCATCTATTTTTTTGCACATCACAAATTGTATTAGTGCACATCACAAATTGTATTAGAAATTAGAGCACATCACAAATTGTTTTAAAGTGCACATCCCAAATTGTACTAGAAATTAGAGCTTAAAGGGCATCTATTTTTTTAAGAGTAATGAACGTAGTGAGGTCTCTTATGTAGGCCTTGCTGATTTTTTTTGTTTTTTTTTCAGGAAAAAGTCCTGAAATATTAATGCACTTAGGTATAATGCTCTTTTTGAGTTCAATTGAAATTCATCTGCTGAAAGTGACGTAAAGAGCACTCTCCAAATACGAACGTGGAAATGGCGCAAAAAATGTGAACGATTTCTAGTTTCGAAAGTGGATTTTCTTTTAAGATTTCCCAGCGCAATAAAAACTATACCTATAAGCCCAGTTTTATCTAGTTGGGTTCATGTTAGCAAAAAAGTGCCAATCATAAATTTTTCTAAAAATCAAAGAGCTTAAAGGGCGTCTATTTTTTTCTTTGAAATTCGAAAGTTGAGATTTTTTTCAACTAAGTCAGTGTTTTTTGTTTACTTACGTTCATTACTCTTTTCCAATCTTCGATTGGCTGCGTTTTGCTATTTTTTTTGGTTGTGATGTCATCAGTTTATATTGTACTTCTGATGTTTTTGTAAGGTTATGGCGGTTTGAAATTGTTAATTGGAACACAACGTGGAAAATTTGGCTCAAATGTTGCTTCAAATTGAATAAACGACAGGGATGATTTTTAAAAAGTATCAACGAAAAAAATATTCTTGTTTGATTAATTTTCATCATTTTTTGTTTTGAAAATATTTCCAAGGGCGTCATAGTGCAGTCAACATTCAGAGTTCTGCCCTAATACTGACGCTCTTGTTTATGTCTTAATGAACGAAAAACTTTGTAGATAACGTGCGTAGCGAGTGGTGAATTAAAATTCTGACTGCGCCAACGTTTTTCTGAAAGCGTCATCATTTCGGATCTCAATATATATTTTTTGTTTTTTAATGGGATAGTTAATCCTAATTTTGGTGATATTGACAGTCAACTTATGTAGTGAAAACTGTCAACTAATTTAGTGATGTTTCCAGTTGTATTTTCAGTTTTTACAGGTTTTATCTCAGGTGGCGTGAAGCTCCGCTTTGCCTCTGTGTAAAATAGTTAATGACTGTCCAAAAAAAGTGCAGTAAGTAATTGGGCCCGATTTAGTTTTTAGCAAGTGTCCAAATGCGATTAGCTTGCGTTAGTAAATCGGAACAAATTTTTTTTGACCGCAACAACTTGAACTTGAAAACATGATTGTCGGACTATCGTTTTATTGCTGAGAATTCTCAGCTTAGTTGCCACCGCAAGGACTGTGGTTATAGTTTCAGCAGTTTTCACAAAAATTGAAAACCATCTTATTTTGTTATGTAATATGCAGGTAAATGAGGTCCATGATTTTTGGCAGATACTTTTTTTTAAAACTTAAAGAGGTATTTCACAGAAAACTGGATCGATAAGTAAGATTTTTCTGATTCCGGTATTTCCGACAAAAAATACTACTTATTTATCTATTGATACAGTTTCTTCAAATACTGTTAATTTTAGTGTACATCCCAAATTGGACTAGAAATTAGAGCTTAAAGGGCATCTATTTTTTTTAAGAGTAATGAACGTAGTGAGGTCTCTTTTGTAGGCCTTGCTGATTTTTTTTTGTTTCAGGAAAAAGTCCTAAAATATTAATGCACTTAGGTATAATGCACTTTTTGAGTTCAATTGAAATTCATCTGCTGAAAGTGACGTAAAGAGCACTCTCCAAATACGAACGTGGAAATGGCGCAAAAAAACGTGAACGATTTCTAGTTTCGAAAGTGGATTTTCTTTTAAGATTTCCCAGCGCAATAAAAACTATACCTATTGGCCCAGTTTTATCAAGTTGGGTTCATGTTAGCAAAAAAGTGCCAATCATAAATTTTTCTAAAAATCAAAGAGCCTAAAGGGCATCTATTTTTTTTTCTTTGAAATTCGAAAGTTGAGATTTTTTCAACTAAGTCAGTGTTTTTTTATGTTTACTTACGTTCATTACTCTTTTCCAATCTTTGATTGGCTGCGTTTTGCTATTTTTTTTGGTTGTGATGTCATCAGTTTATATTGTACTTCTGATGTTTTGTAAGGTTATGGCGGTTTGAAATTGTTAATTGGAACAAAACGTGGAAAATTTGGCTCAAATGTTGCTTCAAATTGAATATACGAGAGGGATGATTTTTAAAAAGTATCAACGAAAAATTTTTTCTTGTTCGGTAAATTTTCATCATTTTTTGTTTTGAAAATTATTCCAAGGGCGTCATAGTGCAGTCAACATTCAGAATTCTGCCCTAATACTGACGCTCTTGTATATGTCTTAATGAACGAAAACTTTGTAGATAACGTGCGTAGCGAGTGGTGAATTAAAATTCTGACGTTTTTCTGAAAGCGTCATCATTTCGGATCTCAATATATATATTTTTTGTTTTTTAATGGGATAGTTAATCCTAATTTTGGTGATATTGACAGTCAACTTATGTAGTGAAAACTGTCAACTAATTTAGTGATGTTTCCAGTTGTATTTTCAGTTTTTATAGGTTTTATCTCAGGTGGCGTGAAGCTCCGCTTTGCCTCTGTGTAAAATAGTTAATGACTGTCCAAAAAAAGTGCAGTAAGTAATTGGGCCCGATTTAGTTTTTAGCAAGTGCCCAAATGCGATTAGCATGCGTTAGTAAATCGGAACACATTTTTTTGACCGCAACAACTTGAACTTGAAAACATGATTGTCGCACTATCGTTTTTTTGCTGAGAATTCTCAGCTTAGTTGCCACCGCAAGGACTGTGGTTATAGTTTCAGCAGTTTTTACAAAAATTGAAAACCATCTTATTTTGTTAGGTAATATGCAGGTAAATGAGGTTCAAGATTTTTGGCAGATACTTTTTTTTAAAACTTATAGAGGTATTTCACAGAAAACTGGATCGATAAGTAAGATTTTTCTGATTCCGGTATTTCACAACAAAAAATACTACTTATTTATCCATTGATACAGTTTCTTCAAATACTGTTACATTTAGTGTGATTGTAGTGTGTACTCTTATATAATTCTTGGTGTTTTTTTTTCAGGAAAGTGTTTTAAAATTTGTTCACGCTAAATTTGGATTTTTCGCTGTTTGACTTCTGATTTTTTTTCAGTTCACTTCATTTGTTTTGTTAAAAGGAATGCAAACTCTACTATCAAACAGCAAGAATGAAAAGGTCACGAAAAACCTGATCGACTTCTAATTTCGAAAATGGAAAATAAATATCAGGTTTCCCAGCAAAGTAAAAGTTTTACCTATTGATCCAGTTTTCTCAAATTGTGTAATTTTTGTATAAAAGTGTCAATCATAAATTTTTCTACAAAATCAAAGAGATTTAAGGCAATCTAATTTTTCCTTTTTTGCGGTTTTTTTATTTCAAGTTCAGTTCATTTTGTTTGTTAAAATGAAAGCAAACGAAGGTTACTGTCCTGTAAAAGTTGATCGACTTTTAATTTCGAAAATGGACTTCAATTTTCAGATTTACCGGCGGAATGAAACTTTACCCATAGATATTGTCGTCTCAAATTGAGTTAATTGTATCGAAAACAACGTAAATCACGAGTGTTTCTTGAATTTCAAAGAGCTAGAGGTTAAATATTTTTTTCTGATGTCTAGGTGATCTGTTTTTTTTTGGGGGGGACGAAACAGCTCGGTCAACGAAAAATTTTATGGACTTCTTATTTCGAAAATTGAATTAATTATCAGATCACTCAGCAAAATGAAAATTTTATCTAAGGGCATATATTTTTAGAGAGCTTTAAGGGCATTGGATATTTTTAAAATTCGCAAGTTGAAGTTTTTTCAATGTCCATGTTAGTTTTTTTTCTTTGCGTTCATTGACTCTTTTCCAACTGTCTGTTGGCTATGTTTTATCCTTACTGGCCTTGTTTTAGAGTCTTTACGTTTTGCCCTTAATGTTTCGGATTTTTTTTTCAACTTATGAAAATCCTTTAGTTCAGCCGTTATATAAGGATTAGGGTAGCAAGCGAATTGAGTATTACGCACATACACAAAGAGATTTATTGAAGGCAAAGATATTTTTGGTTTTTTCGACCGAAAAAAAATCAAAAAGCTCAACTCTAATGCAGCAGCTTTATTGCTCCACCTTAGGCTCCTACTCTTTTCAAAACCCAGAAACGTTCATTAACAATATTTTATCCTCATTTTAAGAGCGGCGCGCCTTACCAGCTCGAGCAAGGCCGCTCTTTTTTAATTTGCTCATGATTCTATGCTTAAGAAGTTTCATGTTTTTATTCCAGTTGCGCCTGTTGCGAACCTTCCAAATTTTGCAGTGAAGCAGCGTGTGCCTCGCACCCCAACACACTTCCGACCCATCTCAATGCAGAACAACATCACAACCCAACTCATCCACAATGATGACGCCATCCCATACCCTGGCGACAATTCATTCACCTGTTCAAACGACCACATGGAGAGTGTGCCGCAAGGACTCGTCCAGGCACGTTCGAAAGCGTTTGAACAAATCGCAAACTCCTCAAACCACTACGAAATGTCTCGCAATGGAAACTCTAGTGTAAATCAGCATAGTCAAAGTTTCAACAAGGGCGTTTGTAATCCGAATAATTTGACACCCGGACATATGAGATCTTCACAGACTTTGGACACGCTTTCAAATGTGTATTACACCGAAGGCAAATCAGCAAATGATTTCCATAATGGAAAACAGCTCGCTAAAACTAGCTCTAATAATGGAACTGCTAATACTAATCAAACTACTACTCATTCAAGAAACTATGAACATAGATCTAGAGCCAAACATGTTCTTTAAATTCTCGGGATTGTTGTTTTGTTCGCCAATTTTTTGTACGAGAGGATGTTTTGTATATTACCTTCAACTTCAGTTGCGTTTTGATAAAAATAAGTTTCTGCAATAATTCTGTGCCTAAATGTACACCTCTGTTGCCCTCTGTACTTTGTAGTATACTGTTAACCGAGTGTAAATATTTTTCCACCTTCATCGTCAATTTACCGTGTCACATTCGCACATAGTTTGTAAATAAAATACCTTCCTCGTTAATTCACTTCACCTGCGTTTTTTTTGTTTGATACTTTTCCTAATTAGAATAGTCCTTTTTGTGCTATGGCGAACATGTTGAATGGGAAAAAGTCGCCTTCTTTTCAGATGCATTTTCCATGCAGTTATTTTGTTTCGCTGTTTCCGTTGCTGTCAACTTATATATTCTAAATTAACTAAAAGATGAGTGCAAATTTGATGTTTTCTACCATCTCACTGTTGAGTTTTTCAAAGTGCTAGAAACAAGCTGTTTCTATATTTATTTCTAACCTTTTAGTAGATAAATTGCTAAGAAATATCTGTAAATAGTTTTAACCGCTTAAAAATTGCTGCTTAAGTTCTGATGCACAGCTAGCAGTTCATTTTAGTTTCACTCTCAATATAATTCTAGTTTTTTAGTCTTACCCGCCTTGCGTATAGATTACTCATTTTAGACCTGTAGTTTTGATAACTATTTTGTTCTAAATTCTGATGAGTTTGAAATTCCTACTTCCTTATGTGTATTTATTTCAAATAATGATGAATTCATTTTCACTGTGACCTGTGTTATTGTACAGTTAATGACGAATTGTTGGCAATATCGGTGACCTTGGGCAGTTTAATCGGTCAAACACTAGCATTTTAGATGGATGGTGGTCAAAAAATAGACAAACTTCATTTTGTACTGTTCAAAAAGTATACAAATACTATATTAAGCAATTAGAGTCGAGAACATAAAGCAAACTTAGGAAATAAATGTTAAGTAAATCAGGACGCATGACCACAAAAGCTTATTTCGGACTATTTATACAGTGCTGATTTAAACTAACCGGGCAAAACGAGCAACAAAGGAAACTTCTCAAACTGGGTTAAGATTGGACAAAAAGTGAAGATAACAAAATTTGATTGGTTACCAGAATTATTATGGCGCAATTTATTTTGTTAAATTCGGAACCAAAATTGTACCCCAAAAATGTGTCATTTTTTTTTTAGTTTGTCAAGAATTACGCTAAGACTACTAAGTTAATTGATGACAAATTTTTATCAAAAGAAGCTTTTTAGAGTCCAACTAAAGTAAATTTTTCAAAAATTTGGGCAAAATGTGTAAAAATTGTTTTTAGGCAAAGATTTTGAGTTATATTTACAAAAATTGACCTTTTATTGCTATCATGCTCTTCTAGAAATTGGTTGACTTGTTTTGATAAAATTTTGTCATCAATTAACTTGGTAGTCTTAGCGTAATTCTTGATAAACTGCAAAAAAAAACAAAAAAAAACGTTTTTTGGGAGACATTTTTAGCCCCGAAGTTAACAAAATAAACTGCACTATGATAGTTCTGGTAAAACTTAAATTTTAAGCTTCTTTTGTTCGCTTCAATTTTGTCTAATCTTAACCTAATTTGAGAAAAACGCGTTTGAAGTTTTAATTTTGATCAGTTTGTACGGTTAATTTAATTCAACACTAACATAAACTGTTTATTAAGCGCTGAAGAACTAAGTGGTTTTCGTGTCAGTTCATTGGTATCGAAGCAAAATGATTTAAATGCATAACTTTTTTTATCTGTACCTATCACCCGTATTGATGATTGGATTAGATTTGAAATGATTTTTGTAAAGTATAAAAACCAATTTACGATAACCCATTTGATTATTGGATTTACTATGGATTGCATACATTTTTTACGGTAGAAAAATGCTTTAAGTTCGATTTGAATGTAAAGTGAAAGATATTAAAAGCTTTAAAATTATTTTAATTTTTTTGGGGGCGTAAACAGATAATTTTGCATCTTTCAAGTTTTTGTTCGAGTTAATTCAGTAATTGACTTGGATTCGATGATTGTTGTTCTCACTTTATATGTGTCGCGATGAATTTTTTATCGTTTTTTTCCAGGAAAAGTCTAAAAATTGTTTAGGCTCAAATTTTCTTATTAGCGGTTTGATTTTTGCTAAGTCAGGCAGTTCATCAGGCAAACTCCACCATCAAAAAGTTGAACTGTAAAGGTCACAAGAAACGCGATTGACTTTAATTTCGAAAGTGCGCCTCAATTATCGAATTTTTCAGCAAATTTTGAATTTTACCTATTAAATCAGTTTTCTCAAATTTGGTTAATTTTGTCAAAAAAGAGTCATAAATTTTTCCAAAACCAAAGAGCTTTATAAAAAAAGACCTGTTTTTTTTCCCTAACTTCGAAAATGTAGATTTTTGAAAAATATATATTCGTATTTTTATCTGTTTACTTTTACCTGTTTTCCACCTGTCTATTGTCGATGTTTCTGTTGGCACTTGAGGTGAGTTGTTTATCTAGAACCATATGTTTCAGCGAGAGCCTTTTAAGCTTATGATGTCTAAGATCTCCAGCAATGAGATCTCCAGCAATGACTTTTATTGATGAGTTCAATAATTTTGTAGAATGAAAAGTCTCAGAACTCGAATTGATACAAATAAATTTGGGATACCAAAGTTTTTCATTTCAGTGACTTTTCAATTTTCGTATGTACAAAAAATTGCGTTGAAATCAATACTTATTTTACTGACAAAGTTTTGACCGCATAATTTGTACTTGTTTTTCCAAAAGTTTTAAGTTCTACGAAAATTGTATTGAAGCTAGTCCTATGCCTTTTTGAATCCGAATCATAATGTTTTCAAACAAACTGAAAATTTTGTAAGTTAAATCAAAAAATAGTGGCCGCATGTGAGTAAAAAATCAGTGCAATCTAAAACTTCAACACGTGAATGAACAAAAATTTTATTTTGAGTCTAGCACAATATTGCACTGCTGCTAATTCCTAAACAGGTCAAACAAGAATTGTCTAGGTTTTTCAGCATATTGGATAATGATAGTGCTTTGATATGCAATGCTCTTAGTTGAATTCTTCGCGAGCCCAAAAATTAGTCGAAAATTGAAAATTACTATGTTCTAATTGATTGACCAAAAAAAGTATGCACTGCCCAAAGCCAGGCCTATGAAATAAGGCGTGGCTGGGCGGGAAAGAAGAGGTATTTCTTTGTTAGTTGTTTCTGTTATTTTTCAAAACACCAGCTCGCAACGACAACGGGAACCTAAGATAAAAAAAATTAAAAATGGAATTTTTTTTAAAATTCACAGAATTTGACCAGTTCAGCAGAATTAGAAATGACTTTATTAAGCTGTTGAATGAAAAAAAAAGTTAAAACCGAATTTTTTGAAATTATAGCAAATGTTTTTCATGTTCATGTTGAGTTACCTGTTTTTTTATTGCTTTTACTTTACTTTTTAAATAGCTAATCAAAATTTAAAAAAAAAAATATATTGAAAAAGAGTTCCAATATGCCTAATTTTTTACGAATATTGGCCCTGCTTATAGTCTAGTTTTTCGCTCAGATCCTTTCATCACACCCCGCAAAATAAAATGAAAGTAATTTAAAAAGAAAAGAATTTTTTGTAAGAATATGGGCGGAGCAGTCTGTGCCAATTGCACAGCAACCGGCTATTTTTGTTAGTTTACATTTATGAAAGCGACATCGAATAATTATGCTGGTAAAAAGCTGAGATCGGGCCAAATTGAGGTCAGACCAAATTGAGTTCCTGAAATGCAGCATCTAGATCGATTTGTACTAGAAATAATTGAAGCCACGGTTGATTTGATTTAGAGAGTAGTGAGGGGAAGATGAAATCCTCATACGCCATTGATGTCCTGATTAGTCAGGCAGTTGTTACTTCGAATGATTCAAAACAATTGATGAACGAACCAGGTCGTGGCAATGACCTACGAATGCTTCTTCCCTAATTTATTTAGTTATTAGTATAATACAACCTCGTCCATTTTTTGCTCCCACCATACAAAATTGAGAAAAATTTAGGTTGGTTTTTAGGTTTTTCTACATACCTACCACAAATAATCATCGGATTGGGCTGAGATGTATCTCAAAAAAAAAAGACTTTTTAATTGTGATTTGAACGACGTAAAAAAAGTTTCAAAAACTTTTTCCAGTGCGGAGATAAACCGGTTTGAAATTTTTTTCTGTGTAACATTGAGCGAGTTAAGCTAGCGAAAAGGCTTGTTGTAAAAGAATCGTAGCAAATTAGTAATAAGTAAGCCATAAATTTTAAATTCAAGCTCTGAAATCTAGTTTTGGAAGTTTTTTAAGCCACGAAAAATTGCAAAAATTTCATGTTTTATAAATGTTTTTTCATTTGCAAATTTTTGAAGAAATTTGTGTTCCAATATGCCAATTTTTTTTTTACAAATATTGACCAGCTTAAAATCTAGTCTTATATATATATGTTTCTTGGTTGCTTTTATGGAGTTCTTGATTGCTTTTATGCAGCCGTTTAAGTCTAGTTTTGTTTATTTCCCCTTTGAAGGCCTAAAACAAATGAAAATAGCAGCATTTTTAAGCGTACTATAGTATAATGACTAGCGAGCGCATCAACTTCTGCTCGTTTAAAACCAAGGTGAAGGCGATGAGGCTTGTTTTTTGGTGGTGATTTATAAAACCTTCGGTCTTTTCTGTACTTTTCGTTTTTTTTTTGGTGTTATCTGTAGTGCTCCCCAAGGCTTTGCATCAGTGTATAAACCTGGTGAGCTGAATTTTATGTATGCAGGATTGTCTGTCGACAATAGGAAGTCTTTTGGGTCTTCAATTCACCTATTGTTGGTATAGAGTTCGATTTATTGCCGACCGACAGGAAGTAATTATCTAAAAGGGTTCAATTTCTGGTTTTTGCTATGATCTTACTGTTGACTGAGACCGATTAGGAAAAACTTCGTGTAAGTGCTCTTTTGTAGAGTACATTAGATAATTATTTCGAGTAACTGCTGTCATTTTACCGTACTGTCATACTGAAAACTGGGGATGGAAACTTTTATTTGTGTTAACTTTGACATATTTTGAAATTTCACGATCATACTGCTACTCTTGGACATTTTGCTGTAATGAAAGATTCATTTGAGGGTCAATAATTTGAGGGTCAATTCAATTGAAATTTTTGAAAGATTCTAATAACGTAGTGGCCAATCAGAATGGCTAGTTTGGTATATAGTTATTTTAATAAGTGTGTTGACCTGTTACCAAAAAAAAAATTTACCTTTATTACTCAATGCGGCATCTTCAAACGAAAAAGTTCACCAAATCATCGTCCGGCAGATTTGTAAGCAAACAATTTTTTCGGCTTTTATTATGCTTTTCACGTTTTGTGCCAACCATATAAATATGAAAAAGTCAAGGTCAAGGTATTAATTCTCCTCAAAAGAATATGAAAACACTTTTATGAAGCCAAAGTTGATACAAACGCAAAACTTTTTATTCTGAAATTTCCTTCAGAATATGTTGCTAATTTTCCAATACTCTCAAGGTGAGTAGGTTTCATCGAAAAAGAGTGTCAGTTGAAACGTTTGCCAGATAAAAAAAAAGGTTGATGCGGTAGTGTATATTGAAATAGAAAATGATCTTGAAACTTTTATCATCTGGCAATTCCCAAGTAGATCTATTTTTGCGCAATAATTCCATTCCATTTGACCATAAATTGGATTAAGAGTAATGAGAAGGATTCAATAGCTGAGAAGTGGTTGTTGACACAAAAGTTAAGATTCAATCCTTTTAGCTCAGATCGAGTTCGTTCAAGTTAGATGTACGCCTTAACTATGGAGCGATTTGTATACTGAGGTTTTGAAGTATAATTTTTTTCTTCAGTTTTATCGTTTTCGTTCATAAGCGGGAGCTTTTTTTACTGCTATTATAAGGTGGAAAAAATTTTTAGGAAAAAAAAATTGGTAAATTAGTTTAAGTTTGCGGGAGCAAAAACAACTAAAGCTACAGAAGCCGTAACATTTGCATTTTGAAGCATGATTAGCCAAATGCTGTGTAAGAGTCAAAGAATGGTTCAATCAAAATTACCATTATATGAAATTTGAAAAAAAAACTTTGTTGCCTTACTTTCGCAGGGTCGTGAAATTTGTTTCCTCAGAACTAATAGCTGAAATTTAAAAAACCACTTGGACAAGAAAAGTGACAAAATTTCACCCACTTATGGTGGAAACAAAAACAAAAAACGACTGCTCGTATCAGGGCAAAGCCCTGAATGTTCCGACTGCCTTTTAAGGTATATGGAGCAGTAATAACCTGTAAAAATTAAATGTAATAAGTAAAGAAAATTAAAAAAAAAACTTTTCTAAAATTTTCAAATTTTTTATGAAAATCATCCCCCCACACGCCATATAAAGTAGAAAAGGATAAATTTGGCTCCTTGTAACAAATGAATTATGGCAAAGAAGCTTCTTTCAACCAATTTGGAACAATTTCTAAGACGGATTAAATCTCCGCTGACACGTTAATAGCGCGAAATATATCGCGCGTTAATTGTCCCAAATTGGCCAAAATGGCAATCTTTAAACCCCCATAACTTTACAAAAAATGATCACAGGTAAAAAATCTTTTAAATCTTGAGCTCAGGACAACAATACCTTTGGAATGATGTAGAAAACTCCGTCAAAAATGGCCAGTTAAAAAGTCGAAATTTGTCTGAAGAAAAAAAAACCCACCCCGAGCACAAATGTTCCGTTACTTTCGTATCAAAAGTCGGAACAATAATAATCGTGAGGCTGATCGGAATGAGAAGACTGCTATATGATAGGTTTTGGCAGGGATTTTCGGCCTGCTACCAAAAATTGATCCCATTTTGATAGATGCGGAATCTTATAACAAATATTTTTTGTATCAAAAAGTTAGATGTTATCGAAACTGATGAAAACAATTTTCTCAACTCATTTTTGAGAAAAAGCAAACTTTAGTTTCTAGTGGACTTCTCTTCATAATAAAAAATTGCCCTTTTTCAAATTCAGAAATTGAAAAATTTTAAGCGAGAGGGTGTCAATTATAAAGAATTCAGGTTAAAATGACAGAGTGTTGAGCTAGTATTAAATTTTGATACACACCTCAAATCTAAGTTTCAATAATCATTGTGCAGAAAAGTTTTTTAAAAACTCCCTTCAAAAGATATATAGTGCAAAAAGCTGAAAATTGACTCTTTTATTTTCACAAAAGGACTGAAGCTCGATTATTGCCTCGCTTAAACTTAAAATCAAATTGATAATTAATTGCAAATTTTTTGAAACTCTCCTTTTCCGACTCTTTTTAGCACTTAGATAGATTTTATTGTCACGGCGGCAAATCGGAACGGGTAAATGTGTATAGAAAAAGCTGTGTTTGTGTGTTTTGGCCTACTACTGATTCAATTATCCCACTGAATTGACAAAAGATCTTGAAAGAAAAAATGACAGGATCATCCTCAGAAATGGGGCAGTACAACAGTGCCGAAGTACAACAGTGCCGAAAAACAAAATTTAGTTCAACAGTGCCAAAAATGGAAACTTTGTTCAACAGTGCCAAAAATGTGAGCAAATTTCAACATATTAAGTCTGGCAAACAAAAAATAGACGGCGAACGTTTACAACCTTAAGTGGTACTTAAAAATTTTGGGAGAGAAATTTTGCAATTTAGACGTTTTGGCGACAAAATAATTGTTCGATTTGCAGTTGCAGACATTTTGGCGCCGAAATTGGAGTGTTTTTCTTTGATAATTAGCGTCAGTAATTTCTCGCTCTTTAGAAAATGCGTTTGACTTATTCTGAAAATTTCCAGCCTTTTTCGGCACTGTTGTACTTCGGCATTGTTGAACGCCCCCTCATAAATGGCTGTAGGCAACATTGTTTTCAGTTTTAATTGTGGTTTTGAATTTTTGTGCCAGTCAATACTTACAGTTAAAATTGTCAAAATTTACTTGACTTCTCAAAACTTACTAAACTTGATTTTTTTCGTTTTTTTTCTTCGTTTTTTTTGTTTTTTTTTCGCTTGCAAACTTTAATTTTCCCAAATTATTTTGATTTTATTTTGTCGGCTCAGTTACCGAATTTTAGGTCGTTTCAAGGTGAAAATAATTTCATTTCTCTTCTCTGGATCGCACAAAAGGCTACAAAAATTTCATTTTTTGGACTTAGCGGCTTTCCTTTTTTCCTCGTTGGTTTAGCCTTTTTTTCTAGTTCATGGTGTCACCGACGGAAGAGCGTTCCACTAAAAACTGGTTACTCAACTTTTCAAGTTTCACCTATTTTAGGTCGAGCATCCCTAAAATTTTTAGAAACGCATTTGGCACCAATATTTACTAAATTTGAGAGAGGAGTTTTCCAAACCAAACTTCCAAAGAGCAATCAAAATGGCCTTTTTGGCGTAATGAACAGCCATCATTTTTGTTTAAAACTTCTCCGCCCACCATTGTTTGAGTTTCAACTAAAAATAATTTTGAATTCCGATTCCGATGGTTTTGCTGAACTTATAGTATAGCAAACTCTCTCTGCAAATGCAATTAGACAAGCATAAATGAAACACATTGGAAGAGCTATTAGCAGAAAAAAGCCAATTTACGATTGCAAAACAATTGCTTTCCATCGGAAGATGGTTTTCCAGTTAGGATAAAGTTAGGAGAATTAGTCACCTATTTTTCACCAAACTAGGTCATATTTTTTTTCTTGAGGGAACAGTCAAACTTCTTCAGGGGGACGATCGGAATAAAATTTTAAATTCTTTTTTCAATTCCATCATAAATATGTTACCTGAACGTCTCTATGTATTCTACTGCTGTTTTAGGTTAAAAGACTATTCAGCTATTCAGACTATCAGATTTCTGCATCAGCGCACCATCAGATGCCCTATTCACACTTTCTTGCCAAGTTCAGATTTCTTAAAGCATTATACGAAATTTTTGAACGAAATTTTTGAACCACTGCAACTCAATATTTACATGAGATTTTTATTGGCACTTTTTAAGCAATTTTCATCTGGTAGTTAAAGCGTAGCAGAAGGAAAGAATGAAGGAATTAAATAATGCCCAAATACAATAGAAAGAGCAAGTACAAGTGGCAGTTATCAGAGTCAAAAATCACCGAGTAACTAAATTTTTGAAGAAATTAAAACTTCTACTGCTTTTCAAAAGCATCAAAATGTTCGTTTCTGATATGGCTACCAGATCATACAAGAAGCGAAAGTTTCGAAAGAGGATGATCAAATATATTGTCGCGAATTTAGTCTTTGTTTCTATCTTTTTCGTAATATTTCTCAAATTCGCAGACATATCGAAAGAGAAAATTGAACTTTATTTACCCGATGAGATCTCCAAACTGGGATTCTTGTCTGAAAACGAGAAAATTTGTAAAAATTTACCAAGAGACAACCGTGTGTTGGTGTTATGTTTGAGTAGACCCAAGTCTTACCGACGCAGAGTGGCAATCAGAGTCACATGGGCCAGGAACTTGAACCAACTCCGCAGAAATAACAGGACATTCAATTACACTGTAGTGTTTCTGGTGTGTTGGTATTTTTCGTTTCATATGAATTGGTTGAATCATAACATATCAAAATTTTGTTAAAAGGAGCGCTTGTTAATTTTGTTTAAAAAGTCAATGAGAACTTCAATTTTTTTCGGAGCAGTATTATGGTATTTTAGGCTTCGTGAACGCCGCAAAAGGTGGCTACTAAAGCAATTGTTCATTGCTCTGCTAATTTAGCTTACATGCAAAAATTTCTGACCCTTGTAAGCAAAAACACAAAAAAAACTAGAAAAAGAAAATTCATCCCAGAAAAAATTCCAATGCTCAGACTTCAGGGATTCTATCAGTAGTTTTTGAATAACAGTTTTTCGCAAAAGTTGACGTTATAAAAAAATTGCGAAGTTGGCTTTTATTTTCAGATTTTTGTGGTTTAGACTTTTTCGAAAAAATTTATTATGTAATATATTTTACCATCTTTCAGACTGCTCGTCCTAAAACGCCAAAAGAAGAAGCACAACTGAACTTGGAAAATCAAATTCACGGAGACATTGTCATTTTCAACCAGGACGACAGTTACGAAACGCTAACAGTGAATGTTTTTGGTTCTTTCAGATGGGCACTCAAGAACTGTGATGACTTCGTGTACATGATCAAAATCGATGACGACACTTTCATCGATTTAGACAAATGGGAGCAGAATTTATTGTCTCACTTTGTTACCAGTGAAAAAACGCTTGCATCGGTTAGAAATTTATCTTTTCACAAAGTTCAAAATATTTATCATCAATCATCAACACAAATTACGGTCGAAAACTTAATTGAGGTTCGTTGTGTGTTTTAGATGAGAAAAAGTCATATTTATGGAGGATATTGCAGAATTCCGACACCCGTAAGTTGGATTTTAAAAACTTATAATAAATCTATGAAACAAAATCAGTATAATTGGCTCTTTATCATAATAAGCACCATCTTGTTGCCATGTCACTATAAACACACACACCCTTCCCCCCAATGTTTTTTGTTCAGACTATGTTTTTGATCCGACCAATTTACGAAGTGACGTAAATAGACCACATATGAGTTTGTTTTTTTGACGCCCAATTTCAGAAACCCCAAGCTTGTAAAAGGTCAAGTTTGGAAGCATAATACAACACTATTTGTGGGGATTTGGATTCCAAAAAAAGATCAAAAAAACTGTGTCGAGAAAAAAATGGTCTCTGAGTTTTTCCGTTTTTCAGATTAAATGATACGATGAGAAACGATCAATTTAGTTCTGCTACAATTTATACATATTTTTACCCAATTTCATTTTTGCAGTTTTTTAAACAATGGCTCTTTACAATGCTCTTACAATGCTCTTAAATCAATCGCTTTTTACTGAAAAAAAATACAAAAAATTATCAGAAAACGAAAAACACTTTTTAGTTGAATTTTTTTTTTTTAGTTGACTGTCTGATTTTTTGATTTTTTTGTACTTGAATCATCGCAGTCGGAACATTCTGTACTTTTTGCACAACTGGTTATCCTTTTTTGTTCCTGCGGTGGGAGTTATAATGGGAAAAAGCCCTTAAATGATAGTTGATACTGTTAACAGGTGCTGCGAAAATTGTCTAAATGGGGAGTGACCTTTGAAGAATACCCTTTCGAGAAATATCCTGGCTACTGTTTCGGCCCAATGTACTTCATCTCGAAAGCTCTTCTCGAAACAGTGGTGGAACAGTGTCCCTACCATTGCACAGGCCAGACAATCACAAACATCTACAGGGCATCTGGCTGTTTCTGGAAATTTGAAGATGTTTTACTAGGCTCCTGTATCCTACACGTCAGACGAAACACGACAATTATAAAATATAGAAAATTCGAAGACTACTTGTTCTTATTTAGACACCCGATCGTTTATTTACTTTATCCGAATGCGATTATGGCGCATCCCGTACGCACAGATGAAGTTTTTCTCCTCACATATTCCTTCACAAAATCTGAACAGCTTAGTGAGCTGATATCATATTATACATCTGAGGTATCAAAAATTGAAGGTTTTTCTAGATCTCAAAGATAGTAAATTGATTCAATGATAATTTTTTTTAGTTTTCTTGCTTCGCTTTGGCGGATCATTCACTAGTTTAAGATAAAGATAAAAGGTGCTAGTTGATTGTTTTGCGATAAATTATATCTTGTAAAAGTACTTGCATTAAACTTATATATAGTTTTTATAGACATTGATTAGCAAAATTTAACTTTAAAAAACAGCTGATGAATAATTGCACTATGAAGTCAAGAATAGTTGGTTGCTGGGCAATGTGGAATGATTAAACTTCCTTTTACAGAAACAAATTTAACAAAAATAAATTAATCAAAAAAAGATTTTTGGAGTTAAAATTTTTGCTGTAACTATTTCGTCATTTGCTTAAATGTTTTTCAAAAACTCCAAAACAAAATTGCACTTCAAAAAAGTTAGTCTAAATTATTTGTTTTCAGACTAAATTAGAAGAAATTTTTTTATAAGCTGACCTCCTACAAATAACAGATCGGCCCGAGTGAACCATCTCCTCCCAAAAATAAAATGGCAAATTCAAGCAGTAAGACCTGCATGTACTCTGCTCAAATCTACTTGGCTGAAAATCAATACTTTAGCCCAAAAGAACGATCGCCTCTTTATTTTGATTTAGAGTGAGATTCTTCACTTGGACCAACGGACCTAATAATTATTTCTCGTATTTCTCTACGGGGTTTTCTTTATTTTGCAAGTGCGGTTTGCTTTGAAAAGAAAAATGGATCTAAAAAATTTTGTTTTGAATAAAATTGCTTCATTTTTGCCTCCCAATACTGTATCAGATCACCAGTGCAACTGTGCGCGTCGAGGGACTGAAAACCAAGCTGACCAGTAAAACTGTGCGCGTGGGGGGCCTGAAAAGAACTTTACCCTGTAGTGGATTTTTGGACTGGTTTGGAGGAAATATTTAGGAAGAACACTCCAACAGATCCCTATTGATGGACACTTGCGCTGGATTGAAGTTATATTCAACTGAGCCTTGTTGAGCTTGGTGAGATCAATCCAATTATTCCCCCAAGTTTTTTTCCGAGAAATTTCCAAAAAAAAAGAAACGAAAAACGTCCAATAAAATGAATTTAAGTGTTTTATTAGTTGAAGATCCCAAATATCCATGTAAGCTTTGCGGAAATGAATGCCAATTTAATTGTCATTCGTGTGAAATTTGCATCTCCTGGTTTCACGATGACTGTAACAATTTGCCTGAGGAAATTCTCCAAAATTTCGGCAAAATAAAAGGTTTATTAAGGAAATGCGAAGGGTGTTTAGACTTAAAAAGAAAAAATGATAAATTGAAACAATTTTTTGAGAAAATCACAAATGAAATCCAAAACGCTTATTTAGTAATCCAAAACGATTTAGCCGATGTAAGATTTTCATTACAACAGAATAACGACCAAACTTTGACAATTCAGATAAAACTTCAGAAATAAAAAAATTTTGCCTCTTTGAAGCAGTCCATTAGGCCGAGTAACATTTTTCCATCAATTGAGAGAGATATAAGCGTTTTGCGCGAAAATATATCAAAACAGACCAGTTTGTCTACAACAATTAATATTGTACCCGCCCGAAACCAAGCTAAAACAGACTTTAGTCTTATTGGAAAGAAACTAGTGATATATGGATTAGCGGAAAATAAACAGGAAGATAAAATTGTACAAAAGGAAAAGAACAGGAATCGTTTGCTGCAAAAACTCAGAGATAGGATGGAACTCAAAGAAATTACTGTGAGCGACTGTTTTAAACTTGGTAAAGAACAACCATACAAATTAAAACCTCTTGTCTTTTACATTCACTCTACTTGGCATCATAAACGTAATTTATTTTGGTCATTGAGAAAACTAAAGAATTCAATTATTTATATCAAAGAACTTTTCAATTATGCAGACTATCAGAACGAAAGGAAAATACTAAAATATAAATACGATTTGAGTTCTTTGATGCAAAAAAAATCTGAGTTCAAAATAAAGGCTGGAAGCCTTGTTTTGGCGCTTACACAATTTACTGTAACAAAGAGATTCAATCGGAGTGTGATCGAACTCTTGGTAAAGGAAACTCCTGCTCTTGACTACTAGCTGACATAAAATTTTGTACTTAATTGCAGATCAATTTTAACAATTGAGGGGATTATCAAGCTGGACGAATCATTGCGAATCCATCAATTTGACATTGTTGCCGGAAGTATGTTTGAAAAATTTTTGAGTGAAGTGAACAATCAACCCAACGTTCATATGGTGGAATCTAATTTGAACACAACACATTTGATTTTGTGCGGCGATCTGAATTTAACTTTAGTTGATTGGAATACTTACTCAAGTGATGACTAACAAGAATCCAGTTTTTTGAAATTAATTGCGAAGTTCAATCTTGGTTTATTGACAGATAATGATTCTACAGCGAGACGCATCTTTAACAGAAAATCCTTTTTTATGTAATAACTTTGAAAAAAACCAAATCCTCTCAGATTATCCTGCACAATCCTGTCGATTAGCATTTGAAATTAAAACAGAACAGATAAATCTAAACCGTAACTGTATTCCTAAAGCAGACTCCGAATCATTGCGTTCGTTTTTCCTAAACGACTTCTTGCTCGAACGATGCAAATAAAATACTTGAAACGCTCTATGGTTTGTCTTATCAGCCGTTAGCAAATATATTCCGAAAAAGACAATTCGTTGCTCTAAAGCCTCCCATTAGCCCAAAATAGTCTTCAGACGGCATTGAAACATAATCAATTTTACGAAAATTAAACACAGCAGGCAAAAATTGAACGACCCTTTAGAACTAGACAAAGCCGTTTACTATGAGTAAATGAAAGACTTCGATTTAAAAATGACTTACAGTTTTCTCAGATCGATAAATTGAAAGGCAAACAAAAATACCAGTTTTTGCTCTGATTTCGCAATCTGTGAGGTTTTCAACGAGCTTTTTTGCATTTGTGTAAGGATTGGACAACGAACCTTTGAATGTTCCAAGCGAACATATTTTTCCAGGAATATACTTATCAGATGTTTTCGTTTCACAATGCAAAATTTTTCAGGAATTGAGTAAAGGCAAATCAGGATCAAATTCAGTTGATGATATATCTGCTAACATTATAATTTTTCTTTTACAGTTCTGTTTGAATGATATTGTTGAAATGTTTAATTGCAGAGCCAGTAACAAACAGTTTCCAGATATCTGGAAAATAGCACACCTTAATCCTTCACACAAAAAAGCTTCTCGTATGAACATTGAAAGTTACAGGCCCATTTCAATACTTTCGCACTCGGCCTAATCTTCGAGCAAGTTTTTTATAAGACGATCAAAGGGTTCTTTCAAAGATAGTATTGTAAAAACCAACATGAATTTAGAAAACATCATTCGACTGTGACGAACCTTATATTGCACTGTGATGTCTTATACAAGAATACAGAACGAAGAGAAATACCTCTCGGGCTGTTTTTAGATATTGCAAAAACGTTCGAATCTTTTAGTCATAACATCATTTTGTACAAGCTTGTCAAAATAGGCTTCGACTATGAGTTTTTTCAGTTTTCTTATCTAATCTCACAAACAGAAAACAAATAATAGTTTTTCTTTGTAATACATTGTCTCATTCCCTCAATATAGCAAATATTGGTCCACGGGGATCAGTTTTTGCAGTGTTCTTGTTTTTTTTCTTTTATATAAACAATTTGTCAGAAATTATTGACAACCCTTCCTTTTTATATGCTGACAATACAAAAATTATTGCAAACTGGTTTGACTTTTCTTAGATTTAATTAGATTTACGCAATATAATCACCGGGGCAGCAAAAACATAATTGACTTTAATTTTGACTAATTTGAACAAATTAGATTTCAAAAATCAAACAAGCGATAACCTTTAAACTATCTTTTATCTATTGATGGAGAACGAATAGTTTTAAAAGACACGGTGAAAGACCTTGGTGTTGATGCACTTTCAAATTGTCAGGGATAAACCACATCACTGAAAGGCTTAAAAAAGCAAACATGCAATTTAATTACATCAGAAGATCTTCGCCAAACTCACTGAGTAGCTCTGTTCGAGCTTCGCATTTTTTGAAAATTGCATACTATCAATGATTTTTTTATGCATCTCCATTTCGGTTTGTGACTAAAAGCCAATGTAAGCGAATAGAAAAATTTCAACGACGATGCTTAAAATGGTGTTACAAAACACTTGAATTGAAGGATGAGGATTATTTTTTTTACTCGAATAAAAGCAAAACGTAGCCAATTTCACTCACGTTAGTTAAAATTGATTCAATTTTGCTGAATAACATTCTTATTAACGAGTTGCCGATATTTTTTTTCAATTTTTGGACAATAGACAAGAATTTTGATTCAAATCGAACGGAAAACAAGACGTTTTTGAGAAAGCCAACAAAAACACGGAGCAAACTTTGTGAAAACTTCTTTTAACGTGTCGCAGAAATGTCAAACACCCTTGCGAGATCAAATAATTTGCCTGGCTATGATCTTTCTCAAAAACCTGTAATCTTTAGAGAAAATTTGAATCTGTTATTGATTGACAAACTACAAACCTTGAAATACTCCATTTATCCAGAATCACGGTTTTTAAGTTTATTTTACTAATTTTGTTATCAATGACTAAGAGCAACTAATCCCCGCCTTGCGGGTTTAGTTCAATCTTATTAACATTAATATTATTATGATTATTATTGCAAAAGGGAGGCAAATTCTTCACAAAGTTTGCATAAAAATTATTGCCATAACGGTAAACACTAGCCAAATGCGACATGTATTTCTGAGAAATACAAAAATGATCTTAAAAGCATTATATGCGACAAAACTTTTTTTGTTTTTTTAAGGGGCATTTTACAATTACTAAAACAATATCAGGAAACTTTTTAGATGTTTTTTGAAACATTATTTGTTTTTGATTTTTTCCGAAGTATCAAGATCCGAACATTTTATGCTCTTTGCACCGCAATCGGATCTAATTGTTAATTTTTTACTTTTAGTAAACCTGCATTGTCAGTTTACTTTCTTCCGCTTTTCCCTCTTATATTACGGATAATAGGTTTTGTAGTTGCGGCATTCTTGCATTCAAATCGTACCAAAAATTCTCGTTAAATGTTTAAAATGAATGCTACTTTTCCACCTTTTCAGTTTTGCTCCGTTGGAGCCAAACTTTCGTTCTTGCTCTTCTACTGCATCTAATTCAAAACCTATTTTATTCCTTCCTTTTTATAATCTCTATTCAGCTGCCTTAGTTTTTTAGGGTGTATTATCTGCATATATCATTAAGTCTACAGAATATTTTTGTCTAACGATGAGGTAAAAACAAAAGTAAACAAGGATAGCCGGTGGCAGCGCAAGTTGCACAAAATGTTCCGGGCACTTTCACTTTTTGTCTTTTATTTTTTCCCATCAATTAAAAATCGTTTCATGTGTGTGGTGCGATGAAAGAACTGTACAAACGCAAGAAAACATAATGAATTAGAGTAATCAACAACATTTGCTTCAAAAATTGAATCATAATTTTTCAGAAAAATGAAAAAAAAAAATTTGAAAAAAATGTTTTCTTTTTTTTTTTGCACTATGATGCGCAATTTTTTTATCAAGCGAGCGCTGAATAAGCTTCGAAACTAGTTTTTATAAGAGTAACTTCAAGATTTATTGTGCTAATTGACCAATTTTCCTGTAAAAACTTTACTCGATCACTTTCACAGCGGTTTTTCAAACTTTCAAACCTGTTTTTTTCTCGACGCTGAACAAATTTTTGATATCGATCGAATCAAGACTGATAAGTATAGTATGTAATTCAAATGATTCATCACTCAACATAATCCGATGATCATTTGTGGCATCGATTTTTAGTGTAAAAAAACAATTGAATAAAAAGTTTCCTTATTTTTAATGGACGGAACAAAAAACACAAAAATTAACAAATTAGCATTTAGGTAAATTATTTTGTCGAAGAAATCATTATTGTCAAACGCCGTAGTTCTAGAGAGCGTAAAAAAAATTTGAAGCAAAAGTCAAAATTTTGCCCAAAGGCAAAATGACGGAGTCACCAAGAAAATAATGTCTACAAGCAACTGACTGCCAAGCGTTAAGCGCAATTTTTTTCCGACAGCGAAATTTAGTAATCGAACCATTTTCAAGTTTCCCCACCAGTCGAAAAATTTCTGCGAAAAAAAATTTCTCGTCATGGCGGCTAGACCTTGAAGAAAAGCAATGTTGAAATTATAAAATGTCTTTTTGACATTTTATTGGCTTTTGGAAGTTCACCTTCCGCATCAATATATTTCAAAATTATCATAAAATTGGTACTTTCACTTTTAAATGGGCCCTTAGTGTTCAAATTTTTGAAAAGGTAATGGTACAGATGTTAGTACGTGTGACGTTGAACCTCGAGGGCAGGGATTCGATTCCGGTACATTTCGGAATCTCAGCTTTGCTTTCAATCAGTTTTACCTCCAATCTATCAAGCAATTGAATTTGGGTTAAACTAAAATTTTTGACAAAAAAATCAAGCGAAACATGCAAAACAAAATCAAACGTTTTAAGTGTAGTGTCTTCACTTCGCTCAATGACACTGGACAAATTCATTTTGAGGTGGAAAAATTACATAAAAGTCTAGGCAATATTTATTCTAAACACATCTACAATTGTCCAATTTTTTCAATGAATGCAAAAAATTTCGAGCTTACTGTGCTTGAAGAAGAAAGCATTCTAGTCAGTTACTTATAATTGGTATCCCCAATCGGGCCGCCCATATTGATCGCTTCAGTGCCATGTTTTTTGGGAAAGCAAATGACTTGCTATCCGGATGTAGATTTTTCCTCTTATTTATACATTCCTTGTTGACTTGGCAAGTGCTGACCAAGTACAAAATCAATTTTGAGCATTACTACAATATAAATCCACTCTCAACCGTAAATTATATTCCAATTTGACAGGGTGTCAATGTCATTAAAATTGAGTAAAACTCTTAAAAACGTTTAGGTATTGGCTTTGGTGAAAAGGTAGTGAAGTGGTCGGAAGTTTTAGGTCCATCATGATCCGTGCTCGTTTCTTGAGAGTGAGGCAACATTACCCAACTCAGAAAAATAAATTAAAAAAATACATGTAGTTCTTAAGCAGTGGCACAAAAACAGTTGTGTGTGATGAGCTGAAAAGCTCGTATGTTTGTCCTTTCCATCTCATTGTTTCTGTTTCATTTTTGTTGTTTTAAGTTACACAAGAAGAGTTTTTCGTTTGAGCTAAACTAATTTTACCGCAAGCGAAAGTCGCACTGTAATTTTAAAAAAGACTTATTCTAATTTTGTAGACAGAGGATGCACTTCGCAAACAAGTGACGAACACCTATCGAGAAATTCGCAAACTAGCGACAAAAATTCATCAATTTGGAAAATATTTTATCTTTCTAACAATCGACAAAACACCGACAAAACAACAATCAATAACCCGACAACCCCTTCAAACGGGTTTGAAAATAACTACCTCAGTGGTATTTGAACCAAAGCATCTATCATCCAAATCAACTTCCCTTCACAACTGTTCCTCTGGCGCTTACAGAACTGAAACGCTAGTCTTTCATAAAGCGGAGAACACAGGCTAAAAAACTCCCAATACTATGCAGCAAAAATGCCACCAAAATGAGCAACTTTTTGCAAGTTGAGTTGAAAAAAGATTAAACCGAACTACAACACAACGCTGGCGAATTCTCAGCATGTATTTTTTCGTCCTACTTTTTATCTATTTTTTAAAATCTGTTTTGGCTAATGTTGCTCGAGGGGTGGAGCGTATCTTTAAATTTTTTGTTAAAAGGTTGTTTTCGGTTCAACATGCGTCTACAAGTGTTTTTTGGCTTAGCTGCCTCTCGGTAATTGGCGCTGAATGTTTTTTAACGTTGTAGACTATTGCTCGGCAAGTTTTTTCAAATTATTACATCATTCAAGACAAAACTATGGATTTTTTGAAGACGTTTTTTAAATTACTTTTTATACGCGAGCTTTTAAAGCTATGTTTTTACTTCGTTTCGCAAATATTGCGAAGTTTCGCTTCGCATCTGTATCCATAATACTATATTAGTTGACGTTGACGCTTCTTGTCACTTTTTTATGTAATTATTTTCTTTCAATTCTTGAATACTCGCATCGCATGGTCACCGGTTGAACTCATAAGAATTCAGACTGCTCGTATCAGGGCGAAGCCCTGAATGATCCGACTGTCTTTTAAGGTCTATGGAGCAGTAATAACATGACAAAATTAAATGTAATAAAAAACTGATTTTTTTTTGAGATTTCTTGTGAAAATCATCCGACCACACGTCATATAAATTCAAAGTGATAAATTTCGCTACTAGTAACAAATCAATTATGGAAAATAAATTCAATCATCAAATTTGGAACGATTTATAATACGGATTAAATCTCCGCTCACGCATTAATAGCGCGAAATATATCGCGCGGTAATTGTCCCTAATTGGTCAAAATGGCAATCTTTCGTAACAACAATGCCAATTTGTTGGAACAAAACGGTATAGCTTGGGGCGCTTTACATTTGTAGGACAAGCGCTATATGAACAATAACTGTACCGTTTTTTTTATCTGTTGGAAATACTTTCCCTAATTGCAATGTTACTGGCACTTTTGTTTGTCAGTTAAACCGAAAAAAATGTGGCAAAAAAATAAAAGTGACCTGTAAAGTTTCAGGTTCCCGATGACTAAAATATATTTTTTTTTACAAATCATCACCTCTTAAACTTGACAGATCAGTTTTGATTTTGCAATCTTTACTTAGATTGAACAACAATGTCACTAAATTAATTTCCATTATTACATTCAAAGTAGTTACATTCAACATTACAAGTTTCAAAGTAGTCCAAACTTCTTTCTCTGGGAGCGCATGGCGTCTCCGTACCATTCAATGCCTTTGATCATTTTGGCGACGTTGTTCACGATGTGTTCATTGTTTGTTCTGCCCGCGGGGTCCATGCTCTCGTGCACTGTGGGAATGCACACTGGGGTGGGGATGACGGGGGAGCCCAGTTCTGTCATCATCGTCACCAACTGTTGAGCACATACTATGCCAGAGTAGATTCCTACACAAATAATAGCATCCAAGTTGCTGTGCAATTAGCACAAAAAGTTCCGACCGCAGTTCCGAGTTATATTGCAGCAAATAAAATTTGAAATTACATTTTTATAAACGGTGTTTAGCGATGGCGCTTACTTCAATGAGTCTGATATTCAAATATGCGAGACGACTATTGCGTACAAAAAACACCCGATAACCAAGTTCCTGCTCACTAAATTTACCCGAATTATTTGAAATTGATACTTCATATTTGTAGTCCTGATTTGTTAAATATTTATCGATTAAGTCAAGAACTGATCTAGTAATTTCACGAAGGTGATAATTTGGATCAAATTGTGGCTCTTTTAATTCAACCTATTCCCTAATAGAAATCCGATTGAACTCAAATATTTGCATGAAACGATCAAACCGTTCAAAACCGCTCAAATCCTAGCACGAAACGCTCAAACCTTGTCCCAATTTTTATCCCAAAACAGTAGATTTGTTGCCCGGCACACGTAACCAGCTCTATAAAAATCTGAGCTCCATACCTACTACAAAACCCTACAAGTTTAGTAAAAATTAACCTAATATGTTTTGGTGTCCAAAAAATAATTGTCGAGTTTGATAACGTCTCTTAAAAAGTCAAATTAAAAAACCGCTCATCATTTTCCGAAAAACAGATAAAAAACCGCTCAATCTGAAGCAAGATTTTGAGCGTAATTGTCTTAAAAAAAGTTCACACCGTTCAAATCTTGCTTGAAATTGGGCTAAAAACGTCGACTCGGGTCGGGGTTTCTTTTTAGTTCAATCAATTTGATTTGGTGATTGAGCTCTCTTTAACAGCCTAAACTCAAAATTCGTGAAGTGAAAAACAACAATGGTTGACCAGTGAGCAGAATCGAGGAACACCAAACACCTTTGAACATGCTATCAATCTCATTTCTGTCACTGCTCAAGTTTATCCCTGCAAATTAGTCAACCGAGCGCGACAAGCTAAGAAAATTTATATATAAGCAAAAGGACCCTACGAGCTGTTCGCCTCTTTGCGCAAAACCCCGCTGTTTTGCTTCTGCTGTAAGAACTACATGCAATTTATTTAACTTTTCTTGGCTGAGAACTGTTGGTTCACCTTTAGGCAAAGGGGCATTGTCAGCCTCGAAACAGTGACCTTTCCACTGACAGGCGAAGCCTTAAACAACTTCGCCACCGCTTTTGAAAAGAAAAGTTAAAGGCTAGTAGATACAGCTTTGTCTCGAGGATATCGTTGCTCCACTCAGCTCGGGTGTCATTTATCTACATATTTTTTCTTTTAACTTTACATTGTAACATCACAAGTTTAGTCATATAACACGTACAACAACTGTGAAAATAGACATTTTGGAAAAAGTCGTCCACTCACCTGTCGAGTAAGTGACTACACCGGTAGGTTTGCACTTATAACTCGTGGGTGGGAAGTGGTCAATGAAGTTAGTGATGGCTGGGGGAGCTGCCCTATTATTCTCAGGGGAAACTAGCACTATTCCATCTGCCTCTTTAATTTTCCTGTTTGTCTCCGCCAGCAGGGTGGGCATATCTTCTGCCTTTCGGAAGTGAAAAGGAACTGTGAGGAGGGGTAACTTAATCTCCTGTGGATCTGAAACAGGGAGATGTTGATACATTCATCTTCTTTACTTCGAGGGTTGAAACATTATCGGAGAGTTTTCCAGGTGGGCCGAAACAGCCCGAGTTATATTTTTTTTCAAATCGGGAGAACAAAATGAACCGAATAGTTACAGGCCGATTTCTTTAGTACCTGTTTTTAAGCAAAATATTTGAAAAACTGATGAATCAAAAATTTTCTTAAAAAGAAAACGTAAGCAATGCCAGCCAATCAATCCGGCTTCAGAGACAAAACCAGTACAGTCGAGCCCATATTACACGCCATCGAAATTTTAGGAAAAACAAGGAATGACACAGAGGAGAAGTTGCACTTCGCATACAAAAGCAAAAATATGGCCGATAACGCTACTGGGAAAAACTGAGTGAGTGAGTAAAACTTTGAGTCTACTAAATTTCTTAAGTGACGCACGCCAATTATGAGTCTACATTACGCAATATGAAAAAAAAAGAAATTTACTAATTAACATGCCTTAATTTATAGAGCGGACGCATTTTAACTAGCATACGAAAAAGTTCAATAAAACATCCGACCCTGCTCAGGTTCGAACCCTCTAACTTTGTTGCGGGTCTCCTTCCCTACCTCTACGCTCCAGATCCATGATACCTTGAAGCTTAAGTGCTATTTGTAATAACATAGGCGCTACGCGCAATACACCGAAGGCATAAAAACTGAAGCAAAAACCAAACAATTTGAACAACTAATAATTGAAGAATAACAGTTCTAGAACAAAAAATCGTACTAATACATGTATACACCAAAATTTTGCTTTATCGAGAAAGAGCCTGAAATAACAGTTCTAGAACTAAAAATCGTACTAACACATGTATAGGTTAAATTTTTGATATATCAACGAAGATCATAAAATAACACTACTAGAACTAAAAATCGTACTAACACATGTATACACCAAAATTTTACTATATTGACAAAGAGCCTGAAATAACAGTTCGTGAGCTAAAAATCGTACGAACGCATGTATACACCAAAATTTTGCTATATTGGCAAAGATCATGAAATAACAGTTCGAGAGCTAAAATAAATAAAGATGAACAAATAAAGAAACAAACATACGCAATCACGTGACATAGCGCGATATAGTCCAGCCCACATGATAATTGATAACTGTGGACGTTATTTGTCGACACTTGACAACAGACAACATTAAAAAAAAACCCGTTACACGATACCATAACACCTTGACTAAAGTCTTCGGTGTAATAATAGTCTGTATTAATATCTTTAGCATTAGCTGTACTAAATAGTAGCTGGTTATCGATCAAAATGAACACTTTCAAAATGAACACATTTTGTCGCAACTATATTTGCGTCGCAACAATAATTGCGACTTAGTTTGGAAAACAAAAAAGTTTATACTATAACACAAGCTTTGCTTGTGAAATAAACATCCAACGTGCTGCATATTCCTTGATTTATCGAAAGCGTTTGACACTGTTTATCCCAACATTCTAATGCAAAAATATAAATAATATGGGCTAGGAGGGCCTATACAAGAACTTCTAAAATCTTACTCTCAAGCAGAACTCAGATTGTTTTTACCCAACCCGGGCACTCAGTTGTTAAGCCAATTGAATGAAGTATACAAAAATCTGTACTGGGACCTCTTCTTTTCTAAGTTTATATAAATGACATGGCAAATGTATGCATAAGTTCCACAATAACTATGTTTACTAACAATACGAAGTTTTTTAAAACACTTCACTTGCAAACCATACACATCAGAAAAAAATTCTCATATAAACACGCTTGATTTATAATTCGATATCAAAATTAGATATCTCTCTCATACAAAAAATTATTTCAATAGAAGATAGAGACGTCAAAATTTATCTGCAAGATTTCAGGGATAATTACATTTAAGGTAATCGAATCTTAGTTAAAATATTTTGGTAAATTTGGTAAAATAATTGGTATGATTGTTTTCAAATTATAACGACTGTATTGTAGTTTATTTTCATTTTTATTGTTTGTTTGATTTAATTATCTGCTGGTATTTTCCAAAAATTCATAAGGTCAATCAACAAAACTCAGTAGATTGCTCGAAGAGACGTCACAATACATCTAGTGACCTTTTCACGCCTTTCACGCTGGCGTAAAGAAAAAAATGCATTGTAATTTCAAACATATTTTTTGGATTATTTGTACAGTCAGCCTGCAAAAAAATAATTTTGACCATTATGATTATTTTACCAAAATTTCAAATAAAAACTTAAAAGTCTGAAGAGCATTTGCCAGAAAAAATTTTCTGCATCTTCGTAATTTGAAAACTTTTAAGCGTTTAATCTTTAGATTAGAAAACTTTGTATTAGATTTAAAAAAAAAAGAATCACCTTGCTGTATTAGATAAAAAAAGTTGGCATTTCAACAAAATTGGAAAAGTGAGCCAATGAAAATTCTAACGACAATCACGAATCCAAAAAATGAGTACATTTTTCAATAATATTTCAACAAAAAACTTGATTAGCACGTAATATGTGCCACGTAGTCTGAATTGTACATGCTATGATAATATAAGTGACATTTGAAAACATAGCCAAACGACAGTTAGACAAGAAGAATGAACGCAAGGAAACTTAAAAAATTGACTTATTTTTTTGAAGAACCTTCGAGTTTTTATTTTCGAAAGAAAAAATAGATGGAATTACAGCTCTTTGAATTTTAGAAAAATTTATAATGACACTTTTTTGATAAAATTAAACCAATTTGAAAAAACTGGATCAATAGGAAAAGCTTTTATTGTGCTGGAAAATCTGATAATTAGTTTCCAGTTTCGAAATTAGAAGTTGATCACGTTTTTTGTGACTTCTACACTTTTTTCTGTTCGATAGTGGAGTTTGCCTTCCTTTTAACAAAAGAAATGAAATGAACTGAAAGAGAAGTCAAAAGTCAGATCGCCAAAAAAAATAAAATTTAGCGTGAACAAATTTAGCGTGACTTTTTCCTGAAAAAAAAAACAAAAATCACCAAGACCTATACAAGAGTACTCACTACGTTCATTACTCTTATAAAAAACGCTGACAAAATTTATGCCGAAAACCACGAATCCGAAAATCGGCAATTGATTACTGTGGGTTTCATTTGAAAAAGTTAAAAAGTACGTAAATTGAACTAGGTAGTTTTACTTGAACTTAAAATAATTCAGGGTGTCTGCATGCGCTTGTAAAATTGTAAAAGTTTTTCAAGGTAAAAATAACTATAGTTCCCACTACATGACATATAAAGCATCTGTGTGAAGGCATTCGTTTTATGCTCAAACTCATTGTTCCGCTGATTCGGGTGTCTCAACGTCAAGTCATTATCGATGTTTCTTTGGTAGTAAAGCCTGAAAACTCCAATGAAACAATCAAAATCGCAATCTCATGACCAATTGTGTTTTCATAAAATGGCAAAACTAAAAAAAACTCCCATTAGACAATATTTGGAGAACAAGCTAGGCATTATATCTAACCTAGAATGTGTACTCTGTGTCCCCGCTTTGCTAGCTGTTCCGAAACATATCTGGCAACCCTCTCTCCGTTTCTTCCCTCCCTCAGCGAGCCCAGAATCATCACCAGGTTCAGAGAATCTACGTCCTGCATTCTGCTTTAGTTTGATCACGTGTACACAGCTAGCTACCGATCTTCTCTACTAAAAATAACAGAAGTTGGCAAGTAACAGAACTGACTGTCAATCCTATTATTTGAAAATTTTGAAAGGCTCAACAGGTCTACTATTTTATTTGGTCAATGAAATCAAATTCTCTTAAAATTTTAAAACGACCTTAAAGTACTTTTAGTTAGAACCACCGATCCAGAGTTTCAGATATTTACCAAAAAACTTTTCAAAATATTTGACAGAAAAAAAAACTTTTTTTTTATACGCATCTCTTTGTGACATATTTCAGATCAACCCAGCATAAAATCCTTTAAAAAAAATGATACAAAAAATCAATTCAATTCTCAGTTAGGTTCCATATATTAATTGGTAAAATAGGCGGATCAATTACCAATTATGGTTCGATTGAACGTTTGACTTAACTAATTTTTTGGCCAAAAAATTTCACGCTGATTTCTATCTTATGTTGGCGCGGTTATCATTAGTATTTGTGAGGGCCTAAAAAAAGTTTGATCAAATAAGGTCAAATGCTGGAAAAATGATTCGGTTTTGGCGTATTCGTTCGCTAAAAATTTTTTGAGGATTTTTTACTGAGGGTTTTTCTTGCTGATGCATTGTTTCAGCAACGCAAATTAAAACTGGATTTGGGTGAGAAATAAATAAAACAGAACTAAGCCGGTATTTCAAAACGCGTCGTTTTTTGTTCGTTGTGTGATGAGAATACCTACACGAAAGCCTAGAATTTAGGTGTATTCGATAGTTTTAGGAAATAAGGCATAAAAAACCAAAAAAAACTTATTTTTCGGAATGAAACTAAGTTTCTTGACTTTTAAAAATACTATTGCAAATTCGTTCAAAATTTCATGTCATAAGCCAGCTCGATCGCTTTATCCGCTCATAATTTGACTAAAAATCAAAATTTCGTAGTTTTTTTCAACGCAGAAAAGTTTTCTAATTTTTTTTACAGTCGCTCGAAGCACGATTGAAAGAGCTATATTATGATATATCAATCGAACAAATCCAATAACTATTTGTGGTACCCGATTTTGCGTATTAAAAAAATTAAGTAAAAAAAAAACATAATAAGAAGACATACTTCCTCCCAACTTTCAGTAGTCATAACAACAAACCAAAAATGTAGAATCAGACTCTGATTTGCGCGTGCAAATATCTTTGTAAGAAATCTACTTTAATTGAAATGCCGCTTACTGCCTACTTTGCATAAACCTAGAGACAGTGTAGCTGAGTGGTGGACAAAAAGAAGTCTTGAAATTGAAAAAATGTATATATCCATCAGTTAAATAATATTCTATTCTTAAAAAACTTTCGGCTAAAAACACTGAGAAGCTTTCATCAGCTTGCATGATTTTTGGCTAAAACATGATTAGCAAAGTTTCAACTGAGTTTGTGGGCGAGAAAACTGTCAACGATAACCCTACTGCAAAGCTACTCGAGAAAAATTTAGTCTTCTTGCATCAAATATAACAATGCTTTTATAGGCGGAAATATACTTCAAATAATTTCGAGCCTCATGAAGTAATTCAAGAGTTAAGTTTTTGTTTCGCGTTCTGCTAGTTTATATTTCAATTAAAACTCACAATGGTTCGCAATGTTGGTGAACGATGTCATTATCTCTATAGTGATCCGAAAGTATTGCAAGTCGTTGTCTTTTTACAACTGAATTTTTTTGAAACTTCCTGTAGTTTTTTCGGGACCATTCCCTTTTTTCTATGAAATCTAGATAGCTGGCACATTTTTTACTTCAAAAAGTTTCGCTTTTAGAATACTTGATTATTCTGAAGAAAAATTGCTATTTGCTTCTGCAAAAAACAGTAAGCTATTTCATATTTCCTTCGAGCACCACAAAAAGCAAAATTCTGCTTTGCCTCTTTGTTTAAGATGAAAAATTTAAATCTCATATCTTTTATCTTTTGAACAATTCTGAAAAGCATTCCAATTTGTTTGTTCATTTGTACATTCTGCAATGATTGCTGTAGTCAAAGCACTTAGTGCTACTTGCAAAGCAACCTTCTACCCATTACATTTTGAAATTTTATCAAGGATAGCCATTTCATCAAAATAAAACTTGAAAAAATCTTGAAATTAATTTCGTTTTTTTTTTCATGTGTAGTTTAGGGAGGGAACAAAACAAGAACGTGTACAACGATTGTGAATTAGTCTCAATCGACAGTAATTGTCGTCGAAAAATGAATACCAAACAAGAAACAGTTCAGATAAATGTTTATATTTTTTTCTGTCTTTATTTTGCACAACATTTTTTTCGATTTTAATAAAAACTTTATTGCAAAGGAAACGCACACTATTTTTCATGGATTAAAACTAAATTTTCGACTACTCGAAAGAAAAATTTTCTTTTCAAAAGACGTACTCGCTGGCCTTAATTACTCAAAATTAGAATCAGAACTTTTAAAACGGTTCTTCTAGACACTGGGAATACTTTTCCAAAAATTTATTGATGTCGTTCGAGCCACGACAAAAAAGAAGCTTTAATCTGATTTATCATTCGAATTATTCCGATGATTTTTTTAGTACCTGATTTTGCGTGGAAAACAAAAAACATAGCCAACGGAGATTGAAACGAGGCAACAACCAAAAAACAAAGAAAAATAAATATCACGTTGAGAGTCTTTGATTTTCCATTTTTTTACGATTGGCACTTATTTCTTTAAAATATCCCAGTGAGAAAAAAATGGATCAAAAGATATTTTTTTCCAACAGGGAATTCCGAACAACTTGAGTCCATTTTTCAAACTAGATTTCATTTGCGTTTTTTGTGAATTTTTCATACTTGCTGTTTGATAGCAAAACTTGCCTTAATTTACAAAGAACCGAAGCGTCGCTTCGCAAACACTAGGGAGCAGACGACAAAAAGCAGCTCTAGAAAGTGCAAGAAGAAAAAATAAAAGTAAGCCTCGAATTAGCGAAAATTCGGCTAGGTCTAGGATTCGATCTGCGACCTACTGCAACCAAGAGATTTTGAGCCCCACGCAATAACCACTCAGCCACGCACGCATATCCACTGACAAACACTAGACACGAACGAAAAAGCTACATATGCTAATAAATTGCCAATGCCATTCAGCAAAAGTTGCACAAAATACAAATGAACACCAACTTTGCATGTAACAAATCGCAAGGCATAAAGCCACATTATGTATAAATTATTCATTTCAAAAAACTGCTAGACATATTGAGTTAAAAAAATTTCTGAAATCGAGTTTTTATTATTGTTGTTTTTTGAAACAAATAGCCTTTTTCGGTTCATTTGATGAAATAAAAACGCATCAATTTATTACGATTCGAATGTCAAAGCACACTCTATTAAAAAGCTGTAAAGGTGCCCCAAAAAAGGGCACCAATATTTTCGACTTAGGTTAGAAAAAAAAGAAGGTTCTTTATAATAAACTAAGCTCACGCTAGTGTTAACAAAGAAAATGAAGTGAAACTAAAAAGAAATCACAGTCAAACGCGGGAAACCTAATTTGAACGTACACAAAATTCAAGATCTTTTCATGCAAAAAATCATCATTATCTACATAAGTGAAAACCTGTCGTTCTTTAACACTTAAAAACACCCAAAGACAAATTCCTCCCCGATTTCAATGTTCGGTACAAACTAAAAGTAATCTTGACAAAATGCCGAATAGTGCAAGGGATGAGTATAATTGCGTTGATGTTAATAAAAACGTTATGATTCTGGCCATGGCAACGCTTCTGGCCATGAAATGATTCTTCGGTCGTAGTCATAATTTTCTTAAATGCTTTCAACGAAATTCTCTATTTTATTAATTTGTAGCTCTTGCTACTATATTTTCGCTACAAACAATTTTGTGGTCCAGGTACTGCTGCTGAACTGCAGTTTACCACGTGTTTAAGCACAATGCAGACGCTCATGTGAGAACTTTTTTCAAGGTTTGTTATTTGTGCGTGCAAATTTTTGAACGTGGCGAATCACTATGTTTGATACTAACCAGAACTAGAACTTAAAATCAAATATGTCACTCAATCTTGTGGCAAGCTTCGTTGTCTTGCAAGTCTCATTTATAAGTCATACCATTTTTTATCGGATGACCGCAAAATTTAGCGTAATATTTTTTTTCTAGCGTCGCGCCCAAAAATGTGGACTCAAGTCCAAAAAGCGTATACAGAAAAAAAATAATAAAACCAGTTTATATCAGAAAAGTTCATTGTTAACAAATAACATCCTTATTTCTTCTCTATGTTTTCGATGCTTGATAACGGAGATCAACATTAGAGAAAAGTGAAAAAGTTTAGGCTTTTTCTTTATGGCAAGCGTCTCGTTACACATGAACATGAAAACCCGATATTCCAGAGAAATCGCAACCTGAGAATTTCACGACCGGTTAAACTTGAAAAGTCTTTGTTTATTATCAAGTTGCGTTCCCCAAAAGCATATTTACAAGACAATCGTGGCGGCAACCCGTTTTGTTTACGGAAAACCAACACGTCTAAGTAGTTCTTCCTCGAGCAAATGGCAGCTCAACCATTATATTTCGACTTGGAATAAGCCCTTATTTACGACAAGTAATCCCCGTTTCTCAGGAGACTAGAGGCTTAGTGTAAACAATAAAACCATGGAATTACATGAACCATACATTACTTTGGTAGAAATAGTATGATCACATTCAGGAACATTACATGTTACCTGCACTTATTTATTCAATACCAACAGATAAGATTGCGGTTAATTTTTGCTAAGACGGTTTAACTTGGTTTTAAACGCAAACAGAACGATCATCTAAGCCAGCGAGCAAATTGTTTCCTTTAGATTCACAGGCATAGATAGCATTCTCGAAGTAGGGTATTGGGGAACCAAATTAGTTTGCCCCAGAAGTTTAGACTGGTCAAAGACCTTTCATGGACTGGTCAATAATTACTCATTCAACTGTCTTAACCAGAAAGCTGCAATTGGCGACGTGATATTTTCTACTAAATAACTTACCTTATCACGAATATGACGTCTTCACGAAAAAAATCATTTGAGGTTAAAAGGCGCAATAAAACAACATAAGGCGAAATAAAAGGGTAAAATCTGTCTCCTAATAACTTCTTTCATAATTAAAACATCTTTAAAATGATATAACAAAAAAATCATTTACTTACTTTTGTATCGTCGACTAGTTGGTAAAGCAAACTATAACATGTAACAACCAATGGCTCAAAGCATTTAATGTAGACGTGCTTCAAGTTTTCAACAAAGAATGCGTGTAAAACCGAGAAATTTTTAACCATTCAAAACACGTGAGTGATTTAGTAGCTGGCTTTGGCCAGTGTTAAAGTTCGATTTATGCTAAGAGTGAAGACGAACAATCTTGAAAACTTCAACTGAATTTTTAAGAAAATTTTTTAAAAAAATAATTAACCACTTTAACAATTTTTCTTGCCAAACCCAAAAACTTCTTTTATATTAAAAACACTTGGAGAATACCCGTATCTGGTAAACAGCCCTGATTAACTTGGAGCCAAAACATGAACCGCAAAAAATCTCGATAAAAACATGCAAAGTTCCGTAACTACCAATGTCGGACAAACATTGAGCGTGAACAAGACTTTTTCCTGAAAAACAAAAAAAAATCAGCAAGACCTATATAAGAGTACTCACTACGTTCATTACTCCTAATAGTGAAACCTAAATTAGCCTTCACAAAACATCATGCTTGGGAAAGTATGTTGACAAAAAAAAGCATACAAACCACAGTCTGATAATTGAATGTTAGAACTGCATAGGAATCTAAAAAATCGGAAATTTCGAAAAACGCTATCACCGCAAAACAAAGCCGACATAATTGAGCGGCGGACGAGAGTCCGAAAAAAGGTCGGACTCGAACGCACATACTAGGGCTTTCTGATTCCAAGCACGGGCATTACAATATCGCCAAATTGACAGCATCATTCATTAAATTATTAGCAACCCTCTCAAGTGCAAATTCGATTAACCCAATACCCCTCAAATAACCCCCGCATTTAACCCTTACTAACCTCAAAATTTATCGTTTTGCTTATTTTTTCTGGAAAAGGCGATGAAGATTGAGAAAAAATACTAATAAAAGGTCCAATTAATTAATTATTCACAATTCGTTTTGATGATACCTTCGAAAAAATACAATAACGACATAGTGAAAACAACTGATAAAAAACGCCTAATTTAAAGCGATTTAGAAAAATATGATCTCGTGAACTAATGTTTCTCAATTGTGATACTCGTCAAATTACCAAGTATTTACTTGCCTTTAACGATGGCCAACTCTCTCTGTGATGACAGCTTCGTTCCTGTCGTCTGATGAGTATGTTGATCGATCTCATTCTCATATGCGACAACTCAAACTCACTCACCTTAACCATACCTGCAAACAAAGACCGTTGATTGCTAGGATTCCGTTATGCTGGAGCTGAACGAACATTTTTTTCGCTAAAAATGATGGGGGAAGGCCTGAGAATAGCAGTTATGTGGATTTTAGAGACTGAAACGCACACATCTGCTGTTTATAGGCCTCAGCGAAAAAATTAATGGTGCGAGTTCGGCTCCAGATCGGAAAATATTGAAAGGCAACTAATCATCATCTGGCGTGATGCTTTATAGTACGAATTGGATCAAGTTAACATCCTTACCCCTAAATATAAAAAAAAATCCACCAACACTTAATTTGGATACAGAAGCAAACCGCAGCCTCGATAAAACTGGCGATAAACACACATTAAGCATTGCAAGCTAGCGGATAGAGAAAAGAACGGAAGCCACTAAGCCTGAAAAACTTCAAAAAAACGTTGAATGTTCACTTTGAGAAAAACATCGAAAAACGCATTGCTCAGCGTTAGATAAGCCTTGAAATTATCTCTACAGAGCGATTGTTAGGCAGACAATGCTGGAGGAAGGATTCGCTGAGTCGAAAAAAGGGTTAAAAAAATTAAAAAAGTCAAATTGTTGCTAGCGTAAAACTTTTTGTTAGTGGCCGCTAATGCAGAGAAGCTTCCCACTACCCCTCATCTCATTGAACCCATAATATCAGATTTGGGATAGTAGTTTTCGAGAAAAGTCAAAAAACTTTAAAAAAAAACTAATTTTTACATTCCCCGAAGCACAAAACCTCCATAATAAAATTTGTGTGTCTTAAACGAACTATTGTAAGTCAACTAAACCGACAGAACAAACACCAAAACAATTTAGCCCAACGGAATTTTCGGTAGGGCGAAAATTCGTAACAGGCGACAATTCGTAACAAGCGACAATCGTAACTGTTAAAACTGGATATAATGCATGTATATTTAAGACATCATTTGAAATAGTCATCACTGATGTTACTGCAATTAACAAAACTTAGTTACACATTCTAACACTGCACGGAAATTATTAATTTAAGAAATGTATGAATGAGGTGCGTAATTAACTCACCTCAAGTGTTACATTACAGGAAAGCACAGGGACTGACCAGTAAATGAATACATTATGCAGAGCTCTAACATATTGTGATTTGTGTTTCCTACAGTGAAACACACAACGCATGTGAAGTGATTAGCTGTTAACATAGGATGAAAGCACACACAAATGAATACATTATACACATGACGAAAACCACAACAAGTACTACACACATTACACACTGCGAGAAGCAGTTTTCAACATGTTTATGAGGTTTTGCTCCATTCCCGACTTCTTCGTCAAACAATCGGCATATTGGCGAGTCGTTGGCACCCAATTGACGCGGGAGACTTCACCAGACTGCGGAAGCTTCTGGATAGAACTGATTTCCACGCGCAAGCGTTTTTCTAGGACAGTTTTTGATCAGTACAACGATTCAAAAAGCTGTTTGCTGTCGACATAACCGTTGATTCTTAGTTTCAAACCTGTGATGAATTCGAGTATTTGTGCTAAAAAAATAGTTGCATCGAGTCCATCTTGCAGGGCCAAAGTCTCTGCTGCCAAGGTGCTTCTGGCCATTTGCTTGATCTTTCTAGACGCCCAAGAGAGAGGGTGGCATTTTCCCGTCTCGGGATTTGTCAGCATGGTCACAAAACCTCCTTGAGATCCACCGTCACCCAAATTTTGATGTGAGGCGTCCGTGAACACTTCAAGAACGAGGTTTTCAGGCTCTCCAAGCATGGGAAACGCCAGAGTCATAACTTTGGAATACTTCAAACGCCTTAGACACTTGTTTGCGACTCTGAACCTCTCTGTATCTACGTTTCTGATGTCTAGTGAGTTGGTGTAAAAACTCAAATCTGGTCTCGTTTGACTAGCAGTCCACTGCAATTGACCTATGGCGCCCCTGAAATCGGAAACTTCATCTTCAGTTAGAGGTCTATTGTGCTTGGGATTACTCTCGTGGGTTATCTCGATTTCCTCGATGAAAGTACGCTGATCTATGGTGAGACAATCCTTCACGGGGTATTTCTGTATGTTAATACCTGTGCATTTCAACGGGCAAGTGGAGTGTTTTCCGACTTTGAAAACGCTGTCCAACTTCGGCATCACTTCGTCCACAAAACTCCGCGTTCCGGCAAAAAGAAAATCATCGACATGAAGTATGACTAGGCCGCGACTAGGCACTAGGCAAGATCACACATTTCAGAGCTCACCAGAAGAAACCAATTCTTCGAAACGTCTTGTAATCCGTATGCGGGTTTCAAAAGTATCCAGAGCACATTTCTACTGTATTTCACTTCTTTGGGAGGTCTGATAAACAAGGGTCTCTCCAGGCTTCCGCCTTGTAGAAACGCGGTTTTCACATCAATTCAATGGGGAATCCAGTTATGCAAGCTAGCAACTGAGATGAAGACTTTCACCAGTTCTCTGGCAACCACCGCCAATTGCGTCTCATATTTTGGCAGTTTATCCTCTTCAAATCCTCTCACTGCCAATCTAGCTTTTAGATTGAAGGAACTGTCATCGTTCTGACGCATCGATAAAACCCATCGTGTGGACATCAAGGGTTGCCCCGCGTTCTGGACTTCCATGTACACACCCCAATTCTTCCACGACTCCAACTCTTTCAATTTCGCAGTTTTGAATAATTCTTTGCTGTTAGAGGAATCTGAGACAAAAACTTGATTCGCGACAGTCTTATCGGTTGTTCCATTGACTTTACCGACACATTCTTGAGATGACATATCTGTGGAAAAGTCAATATTTCCTAAAGAACCCGCGAGATGAAGGGGTTTCTCGTACTGCATGTTCCAGCAGTTCTTGTATCTGCCCTTAGCTTTTCCTGCAGGTCCCAAAATCCTCACTTGATACTTCTCTCCGGCAAACTCCAAATTTTTAGCGGTGAACTCGACTGTTTGATGTCATTTTTCTGTTAGGTTTTCGAATCCTCTCTTAAAATCAGTTACGGAATCGCCATTTGTGGTCTCAGTTTGACCAGAAACGTCACCTAAGTCAGCAGACTCACAGAACTCTGGTTGTTCCGCCTGGAATTCAGCAGGTTCGTTAGCTTCACGTAATTTGTTTTCCTCGATAGTCTGATGGTCAACAGACTCTTCGATTTCAGGTTCTTTGGAGTTACTTTCCGTATTCTCCTGTCTCTCATCTTGTGAGAGAACAACATCGCTTCCTTCTATGGCCTGTACATCTGTGGAATGCACTCTGAGAATTTGACCTCCTTGTCTCAGAAACACCATACTGCTGTCTACACCGATGACTCGCAGGACCATGCCACTTTTTGTCAACAGACCGCCTAAAAAACACGTTTTCTCCGTAAGAAACCTGGCGTTCTTGTTTTCTGACGTTGTGTCTTAATGCTCTTCTAATTTTTTCGCATGACTCGGACTTCAGGTACTCTATTCTTGTTTTGTGGAGCAAAACAAAATGCTCTGCAACAGTTTGTGATAATGCATAGCCTTCTAGAGCTGGCAGCTTGTCGATATTCACGGGGGTCAGAGGGCTTCTCCCCATCACAATTTGGGTCGGCGTATAACCATGGTTGTTATAGAGGCTGTTCTTAGCAAAGCAACTGTACGATAGACAGGTCTCAATGTCAAGGTTTGGGTGATCAATCCTGACTTTTTCAAGGATATGCGATAGTGTCTCATTGTGGTGTTCACAGATCCTGTTGCTAAAAGGCGAATAGGCCGCGGTGGTTTTTACAACTAGATTGAAATTTTCACACAGACTTCGCATTATCTCATTGCTGAACTCTCCTCCGTTATCAGTCGGAATTGCATGTTCTGGTGAACCAAATAAGCAAATCCAATGCTTCAAAAACATATGAGCAATAACTTCAGCTTTTTTGATCTAACAGAAACAGCAACACTGAATTTCGCAAATGTGCAGATGATATGAAGATACCAGAGCCCTTTTTCGATTTCATGAAGGTCCATAGCCACACACTCATTGAACCTAGTACTATTGGGTAAACCCATATTTGGTTTCGGTGGTCTTTTCGCTGTCGTTCTGCATATCTCACAGTCTGAAACAACCTTTTCGATATAGTTTCTGCAAACCTCGTGACCCGCATTTCTGAGCAGTCGCTCCAAAGCATTTGCCGAACAGTGTGCAAACTGTAGATGCAATTTCTTGACGTCAATTTTGTCTGTTTCACCTCTTGTTGTCACCAAAACACTGTTCACGCTACTTGGCTGCAACAAAGGTAAGAATAGTGTCCGGAAACAGTGGTTTCCAGCTTGATACGTTTACCAAACACTGTCAACGTATCACTTGTTAGATTCAACAGAAAACCAGCTTTCTTCATGGCTTTTTACTCTGAAGAGGAGGAAGAATACCTTCAATCACATCACAGGTAATTGTACAGTTTCTTCCAGCAATGACAACAGGAATTGTTACTTCCATCACAGCTGGTTGCTTTTTCATGTTCCCGAACATTATTTAGGTCTGGCTATCTCGTGATTGGACCTGTTTCCTCTGTTCTTCAGTCAAAGAACTGAGAAAAACATCAAGCCAAGAAACACTACAGACGCTGTTGTTACAGGCGGTATCAATAAGTGCTTGGTTTTTGCAGTCAGCGAGAAGACTGTTACCAGTAGCTTAAGCAATTGTGACATATGATTCACTCTGTGGCTCGTTTTCAACTGAAGAACACTGAAAAGCCTGTTCCTCTTTTCTGTCATCATTATTCTCGTTGTCGGGGCAATCTTTGACCCAGTGAAAAATTGAGCCACAGTTGGCGCATCTAGACGTTTTTCCGTACTTATTCTTCTGATTTACACGTTTTGAGACGCCGGATGCTGTTTTTTCGTTCTGATAGCTCGGTTTCGGATTTTTATGTCTACTTTTTGTCATAAAAGCTTCACTTTTGATAATCAAATCGTCCTTGTTTCTCGCGTTGTCTGTGATTGCGCTAAAAATCCGTCTCATCGAAACATTCACTTCTTCAAATTTCAGCGTTTTAACGGATGTCAATATCATCTGTTTCTCTTTCGCATCAAGGCCACTACCTGCCAGAAATTTACAGCCAAGAATCTCTTCTGGTAACGCCATTTTAAGGCGAGTGAGCTTTTTATACTTGCGCTCGAACTCCAGAATAAAGTCCAACACAGACAAACTTCCTCTTTGGAAACCCTCGAACTCCATATACGTGGCAAACGAGCTGTCAACAGTTTCCTGACGAAAACTGTTATCCAGAACTTTGAAAAATTCATCAATACCATTGTCAGAGTTCAGAAGTTCAATCTCAATTTCTGTTGCGACTTCTCGATACTTGTCAGTTAACGATAGTGTTACAGCTAACGCTTGCTTCTTCTTTGGGTGCTCTGTAACTCTCTGCCAAATCTCGATTTCACGCCTCCATGAGTCATAGGACGTGTTTGGCCCAAGAAGAGGTGGTTTGTACGTCGCTGTCATGCTGCTACCATTGTTAAAACTGGATATAGTGCAAACATGTATATTTAGGACACAACATCATCCGAAATAGTCATCACTAATGTTACTGCAATTAACAAAACTTAGTTACACATTCTAACAGTAACAAGGCATTGGCAAGTAGAATACGCTTGCTCTGCTTCGCTCACATCCGGCATGAGAGGAATATTTCGCGGGAATCAGTGTTCCCTGCTTAATCTACTGTTACGAATTGTCGCTTGTTACGAATTGCCGCCTGCTACAAATTGTCGCCTGTTACGAATTTTCGCCTCACGGGAATTTTAAGACAAAACTGAAACGGAATTTGAAAAATCTTGAAACTTAACTACCAGAGTCTTCAAAAATGTTACATACGACACTTTAAAATGGCGAAAGCTCCCTGAGACTTCAAGAAATGCAATGCTATGGAAAGTTAGCCAACAAAGAATATGCAGAAAACTAATAGCCTGGCAATTCAAGTTTTCCCGGAAAATTACTTACTAATTCCAAAGATATTTAAAAAACACAGCCCGGCGGGGATTCTAATTCCGGTTTTTCGGCACCCAAGGCAAGCGCTTTACTACTAGTCAGTTTTTGGGCAGTAACTAGACCAAAAAGGAAGGGCTTAGAAATTATTGTCGTTCCATAATAAAGCATGCCAATTTCGTACATAATTTTAAGAAAATGTTGTTTACGGGAAAAAAAGTTTTTGACTACAAGTACAATTGCTATCACAAAAGGAATAAAAACCAAAATTATATTGAAATTGGGACAAGTTAACGTGGAACCATTTTTTAGGGTTTTCTACGTTCTAATAAATTCTGGTTAAAAACAATCCTATTTACTAACTAAATTACATTTAAGCCCCCCTGGGTTTTGGGACCTTCGTCACGATTACTCTATTTCGGCATCATTGTCTTAAAAAAACATTTCTGATATTGCAAAAATTATATATATTTTAAATTCAACATCAAATTTCTCCAGTGAATTGTTTGTCGAAATTCCAGTTAGGCATCCGACATGGCAGAAAATCAGAGCCAAATCACAACAGGCTCATCTTTTACAATTGGTGATTAATTATACTCCACTTTTAAAGCCAGGAAATTTTACTTCAACTATAAACTCTAGTCTCTGTGAATCAATAACTTCATCCAAGTCTTTTTTGGGTACAAATATCTTCGAAGATTTGTTTAATTCAGAGTAGATGGTTCCATACCTTGTTCAAATAATTAACGCGACCTGAAATGAAATTTCAAAACATGGCATAGGTATTTCTGAGCATTGAACCTTTTTATGCTGTATGTTGTGTATCTTTCCTAGATATATTTGAGTCATTCATTATTTATTCTGCAGAAACAATCTGTCCTACAAACCGAAACCATTTTAGCTAAGACAAAAAAGCGAAATAATGAAGCATTTATACAGAATCGTGGAACTCATCAATTGCCTGCATCATTAAGCATGTTTCAACGAATAAAAAATATCTGAAACTTCAAGAAAAAAGACCCACGAAAAAAGATTTGGGAATGCAGAAAATTTTCATACCCAAATATAAACTGCAAGATTGGAAACCTAGCCTACGTGGTCCCTATTAAGAGCATTACCTCTGCGCCAACTGAACAAAAACAGACAATAGATTTCACTATTGTAAAGGAAGAAAGACGTAACCTACTCTAGTGCGAAATCTGAACCAATTTTAATGGGAAAAAATCCTGGTGTCCTCTGGCAATTTCCTTGCTAATCTCAAGAGTAATTAATGCCATAAAAACAAAAAATAGACGATTGCTGCGCAAATACCACAGAATGTTCCGATCACGGTAATCCGAGCTTTACCGACGCTTTACCATGCCACAATAAAAACGAATTTTGTTTTTCAAGAAAGAAACAGTTCGTGAAGGCGTAAAATGCTTATTTATGTGTATTCTAAAGATAGAAAGTGAATGTTTCAATTTTTTCAGTCTATTTTTCTCTATAACAGATAAACTATCCAAAAACAAGTAAAAACATTGAATCAAGTTTGTTTTCAGCCTATATCATGAAAATTTTGATATTTGTTTGAGTTGAAGTAGCGATTTTATGAAAAAGCCGGTTTCTAATTAACAAGTGAGTGGCCATCCTGTTGGGAAGGTCGTAAGGGAGAATTAATTCCGGCTAAGCCAATGTTTATTCACACCACTTGGAATGGCCGAAAACATTAACGATTCTGAAACGGTTTCAACTGAACGGAGAAATCATGTTTCACCAGATATGTTTGATGATTGAAGGGCACTTCAAACTTGCTATATTTTTATATCTGAGCTATATCCTCCCCCGAAGATAAGTGGACGAATGATATTTTTTACATAATAATTATTTTGAGTTATAAAAAACAATCGAGCTAAATTGAACAAAGAGAAAAACTTAGTGCTACTAAGTGAAAGAAAAATACTTTTTGTGAACTACTTTGTCTTGTTGCCACTAAAGCTTATACCACGACCAAATTGATAATCTGAGCTAGCATGAATTGTTGAATAAGTTCTCTAAGTCTGAGCGCACTACGTTTGCATATAAAGAAAAAACAATCAGTTCAATATTCAAATCGATCAAAATGCTGGGTGCTTTGATTTCATTCAAATAGCCAAATCTCAAGATGTAAAACATGACCCCTCTCAAACCCATTACAGTTGAAATATTTGATTACAACTAATATTACACATTTTGAAATTATAAATACTTCAAATTTCCGAGACAAAATATACTTCGAAGTTATGTCGAGTTGCCAAATGTACGAATGGCTCGCCACGCACAAAGAGAAGATTTTTTTCTCGCTTCTCTACTGGAGTTCTATCGGAACCTGGCAGTATACAGACTCCTTAACGATTGAGCTACCATTTATGGTTCCTTATCTACCCGAAGGCTGGGATCTGGGTGTATTTTTTGGACTCATGAGCGGTCTTTCCGATATTTCTCTTCTCCTTGTACCTTTATGTCTCAAAGTCGGGGTTAAACGCACACTCACTTTATGTTATTTTCTTGGTCTTATTTTCAGCATTGCACTCATTTTCTTGTGGGACGAGACTATGGCCGACAGATGGGGACACCTCGGACACGACTTCAGCTTTGGCTTCATTTCGACTAGTTTCGTTCTTCTCGCTTTAGACGGCGTGAGGGGAACTCTTATTTTCTCCTGGATTGAGCGCGACTTTCCCGCCAGTTTCGTCACTGCTATTCTTGTCGGGGAGGTTTCAGGAGGATTTATAGCCACTCTTATGTCTTACATACAAGGCGCCAGAATCAATTTCAACAATACAAACTCTTTCAAAACGAGACAGGAAACCATAGGAACAACAACCAATGATAACGAAGTCTCCTCGGAATCATCACTGTCAACCGATTTTCTTTTCGGACCAACAGCTGCAATGAGTTTCTTATCCGCTCTTTATATTAGTTCTACAATTGCATTTACCGTTTTTCTGATTTTGAGCAAAACTAAGTTCAAAATGGGGAGCGATGACACAACAGCAAAGGAAAAGGAACGACTTTTCAACGATTCAAGAGTCGGATCTGCTAATCTATCTCTAAACACCAGTCAAAACGACGAAGCACATGTTACAAGTTCCGAATGGTTGTTCCAAACAGTTCAGAGCAAGAAATCACACAAGTACTTCATGTGGATCGTGTTAGTAATAGCAGGCGGAAATGTGTTCACTTTTTCTCCCTCTTTTTTCACGTACACGACACTCCCTTACAGTCAAAGATGCTACACACTCTCAGTGTCTCTTTGGGGATTCTGTCTTCCGGCTATGGGCATTGTGAGCCACTTCAAGCCCATACAAAATTTCATCACATTTGTCATGATTCTTATTCTACATCTCGTTATTTGTACTTTTTTACTCCTCGTCGCTTTGAGGAGTCCAGCTCCTCCTTTTGTGGATCACTCCTCTGCTGAGGCGGTCATAATTTTGCTGTGGATGGGAGAAGCGATCACTGGCTACTTTCTTGTGTCCTCGGCCATGCACTGTTTGCGACGAATGCAAATGGAAAATGCTTTCATCATGGGCGTCATTTCACACAACTTTGGAGAATTCCTCGTCGGTATCATTTCCTTCTGTTTGTTACGCTTTACGGCCTTGTTTACAAAAGATTCTAGCCAATAAACTATAGTCGGTGGTGCTATTTATGTATATATTACACGCTCTTTATAAATGTAAACGCTCTTTATATTTGTTTTAACATCATTTTTGGGATTGAGATAGCTCTAATTAACAGGAACAAAAAATATGCTTCGTTTTCTGAAATGAAATCAGAAGTTGATAATTAGGTGTGCTACTATGTGTCTTAACAACAAACACCGGTCGTTTCGCGAGTAGCAAACATAGCACATTCTGGTTATGTTGATCCAGCCTTTAATGAAAAAAAGTTCATTTTTGTTCTGTTACACATAATTTAAAGACCATAAAAAAAGAGCTTATTCAAAAGCTTTCAGCAACTAATTAAGCAAAACGAAAAAAAGTTTCCAGATGATTTTTTCAGTTACATCAGGGCACTAGAATTAGTTTAAAAAAAGCTGCAAAAATGAGATGAATAGACAGCTAAAATAATGTAGAAATTGCTGTAGAGTTAAACTGAGAGTTCAGTCTCTCATCATTTAATTTGTAAGTTTTGAGCCATTTGTCTGAAAAAGGGAAAAATTCGGACCACTTTTTCTCAGCACTGAGACAACTTTTTTTGAAATAATTTCGGAAACCAAATCACGACCAATAGGGCTTTAATATGATATCACACTCCACTTGACACCTTACAAGCGTTCCTAGAGGATCTTGAAATTGGGTGGGTCACGAAGTGGGAGACACACATAAAAACATGTAGCAAACTTTTCTGCAGACGAAATCAGCCGACTTCGACTATCACCCCCGTTTCAAAATAGAATCAGCAAATCAAAGATTCCTTCAGACATTTTTGTTACAGATTGGGAAGTTAAAATATTTAATTTGGGATATAAAGTGCGTTTTTAGATATCTGCCAGTTAAAACTGAGTTATTGGGGAGTTCTAACTGAGAGCCGATTTATAACTGCGACTATTTTGGAAGTTGACAGGCCGTTTTCAAGTTCTAATGGGAAGTTGAATCAGTGAAAGGGATTAAACTGACAAAGAAAGAAAGAAAGAATTTATTTTTCCGATTGATAAATATAGTCATTAGCAAAACAAAAGTAACTTCATCAATGCATTTATCATCGGAATGGACAACTAACGAGACCATTGGTCTACATAAATGTTGCCCTTATATAGCATACATACTGAATTTAACATCAAACAAAAGAAAGAAAATAAGTTTTTTTTTTTTTTTTTTTTTTTTTTTTAATGAAGAAATTAACAAAAAAACAAAAAAATACGTGATTTTGATTTTTACCTAATTGAAAACATATTGTTCTTCATAGCGCTACCTATAGCAGTTCAGCTGATGCTCCGGCATGGGAACACGTCGCTTCAAAAAAAAAATTGAAGAAAATAATTATTGAGAAAAAATTCAAAAAATCATAAAAAGGGCCATATCTCCTAAACTAAAAGGTTCTGGAGGGTCATATTTTTTCACATAAATCGCAACCTATAGTTGATTGTCCTGTAGCATTTAACCAAGGTACTGAAATTACACAAAAATTAAAAACTGAAAACTAAAGTTGCCAGCTCGTTGTTACCTAGCAGGTATCCATTCTTAAATTTATGATAAAAACTTGTAATTTTTCCAATTTTTGCATTTTCTATCCCATCTTCGAGTAAGCCTCTAGTTTTCAATACGTTGTAAAGCCTAGACCCCCGATAGGCAATTGATTGCCGTTCAAATCGTTTTTTTCTAAATGATTCTTTAAGGAGGTTTAAATTAGCCCTACGCGTTACTTTAGTGGGATTTTCGAATTCAAACACATTATTCAAAAAATCCTCACTGTGTAGTTTGTTTACTGATCGGAGTACAAATTTTAATAATTCATACACATGAAGCTCGTGCACGGTTAGCAGTTGATTTCTAATAAAAATGTCATCCGATTGTTCGCGACGATTTCGGAAGTAAATCAATTTTAAGATCTTTCTTTGAAGTATGTAAATCGGCATTAAAGAAGAGTAGCTGCAACAACCGTAAACAAGAATACCGTATTGGATAGTTGATTTAATGTTAGTTCGATAGTAGTCTAAAAGCTGATGACGTGGAGCAAAATACCGTAATTTTGAAATAATGCCTGACTGTTTCGCTAATCGCATTCTTACATAATCAATTTGCGAAAAGAAGGATAATTTTGAGTCTACATATATCCCTAGGTATTTACAAACAGGTTCAGTTTTAATAGCACAGCTGTTTAATTGAAAGTTCATTGAATTGGAAGTCTTAATATTCATTTGTACTGTTTTATCCATATTAATAACTAATTTATTGGCATTTAGCCAGTAGTTCAAGTAAGAGATGTCATTTTCAATTGCAACATTTACTTGTCCTAAAGCAGTGACATTGGTGTCGTCTGCAAAGAGGACAACTTCAGATGATTTGCAAACATGAGGAAGGTCATTTATATATATAAGAAAGAGTAAGGGACCCAAAATTGATCCTTGAGGAACACCGCATTTTATAGAAGACCAGTTTGAAGAAACGCTATTTATTTCTACACGTTGTTTTCTGTTCATTAAATACGATTCAAACCAATCATAAGTAATTCCTCTGATTCCATAGGACTCTAACTTCTGTAATAAAAGAGAATGTTCAATTGTATCAAATGCTTTTTTCAAATCAAAAAAGAAAGTAACAACATTTTGATTACCACATGACCGCATTTTTTCAGTAAAATCAACGAGTGCGTCTATTGTACTATGCTTTGACCGAAACCTAAATTGTCTAGTATAAATAAGTGAGAATTTTTCAAGATAATTGTAAATACGAGTGTACATGGCTCTTTCAAATATTTTACTCCAGACAATTAATAGCGATATTGGTCGGTAATTATTCTCATCAACTCTGGAACCACTTTTATACATGGGTATGACTTTTGCTCTTTTTAATTTATCAGGAAAAATGCCTTGGCTGAAGGATTTATTTATTAACAGGGTTAAATACGGAACGGTAGCAGATACCGACAATTTAACTAAAATGTTATTAATATTGTCATCACCCGACGACGATTTATTATCAAGTTTGTTAATTATTTGTTCTACTTCAAGTTCAGTAACCTGATAAAGAAACATTGAGTGTCCCACTTGTTTAAGAGGTGGTAATGGTAGACAGTCCATGTCTTTTTTAAGTTGAGTGCCAATTTCGGAGAAAAAAACATTAAATCGTTCAGCGACATCAAAAGTTGATGGAGTTACAGAGTGCTGCTGACATGACTCTAGTATTGGTACGTTTGCATCATATATATTTTTACCACTTAAATCATTGAGTAATTTATATGTTTGTCTTGAGTCCCCAATACATGCAGAGAATTTGTTACGGTAAAACTTCCGTTTTGCTCCTTTAATTTCTTTTTCTAGCTTAAATCTTAAGTTCTTAAAATTTTCCAATAAATTGGAATTATTTGGTTGACATTCCCATGAACGATGTGCTCTGTTTCCTTTGGTTCTTAAATTTTTCAACTTGTTGTTGAACCATTTCGGTTTTTTTAAATCAGTAATTGTGTTTTCCCGCATGGGTGCAAAATTTGTGGTAACTTTATTAAAAACCGCAGAAAAAATGTTAAATGCTGCTGATGGATCTGCAATATTGCAGATTTCTAACTCTTTTTCATTCAATTCAATTTGCAATGAGTTTATGTACTTATTGGATTTATCTTTATCTTTGACAAAATTAAGGTCACGAAAAGTCTGAGTTTTTTCATTTTTTAAACTAGGTGGAGTCCATTGCAAGAGGACAGGAAAATGATCAGAGAAATTTTGGTATTCTAAAGTGTGTTGATAGGCTTCATTCAGGTTTTGATAAATGAAATGATCTAGACAAGTGTTTGATGTTTGAGTAACTCTTGTTGCTTTTGTATCACCTAGTTCGAATCCATTTGCAAAAATACAGTTCATGTAATTGTTCGATAGTTGATTAATCTTTGATATGTCAATGTTAATGTCGCCACAGATTATAAAAGGAGTTGATGGCGAATAGTTTTCTTCTAAAAAATTCTCGAATGTATCTATGAACCGTAGTTTGTTAATTCTAGGTGGGTTGTAGATTACTGCTACTTTGAATTGGTAGTTATCTTTTTCAATAACCACTAGAATGCATTCCTCGAGGGTTGTGCTGATTTGTTTTATAAGCTTGAAATCTTTGCGTATTTGTATCATTACTCCGCCTCCGCGAGTTTTACGGTTGCATGTTGCAAACTTATTGTAACCATCAATGAGATAGCATTTATTATCATCATTTTCTGTTGGCCACGTTTCTGATAGGCAAAGAATGGGGGGAGGAGACTCAAGACTATATACTAGTGCTTCCAATTCGTTAAGATGACCTTTCAAAGAGCGAACATTTATATGTAGCACAGAAAATTTAGGTTCCGGAGGGGGCCTCCGGTTGGTTGAAAACACCAGTGAAGCAATTTATAACATCATTATAATAGTAACCAAGTGTGTGACCACCCTCATAGAGCCCAGTAATTTTATTTGTATAGTTGTCATTTCTGTACTGGAAGAATATATTGCCCTCTCTGGACCAAGCGGAAGCGATGCGCTCATCTGTTTTCATCAATTTTAGAAAGTTGAGTCTCGCTTTGGTAAGATCTTCGAATATTTTCACCTCTTTCATGCCCTCAGTCTCATTTAGCTGGCGTTTCTTCTTTAATATATCTATTTTAGCTGTTCTGCGACAAAAACGAACAATTATTGGCTTTGTGGTGCCCCGACCCGGCAGGCGATGAGCAACAGATATGTCTTGCTTGTTGACGCTTGAACCGATTTCATTTGCAATTTTTATCACTTTGTTTGCTGTCTCTTCATTGGATTCTTGCGCTCCGGTATCGCTCGCTACACCGATAATCCGGATATTTTCTCTTCGAGTGTAGCTTTCCACCATCTCAGCTTCTGACAGACTTTTGAGGTAGCAGCGTGCTTCTTGCGCAGATAATTGAGCTTTAACTTCGGAGAGAATTTGTTTCTTCATGTCTTCCGTAGCATCCGTGACCATAGTCTTCATCAGCTCTTTCATCTCATTTTTCAGGTTTCCAAACATTATTGGGATAATTTCGTTGATTGATGTTTTGATGGTAGTTTGGATTAATTGCACTAGGTTGTTATCAGCAGTTGTCTCCTGTTCTATGGGGCTCAGCACCACACATCCCCGTTTACTGCATGACTTTGGGATGGGCGTCATACCTTGGTACCTTAGTGCGGGAATATCTTCGGTATTGGTTTCAGCTTCAGTAT